TCCGTCATCGTAAATAATACTTATCTAAAATGAGATCATAATCTTCCTTAGTTTGCAACTGCAGTTCCTGAATAACATTCTTCTTTACTTCTTCTATTATTCTATACTTCCAACTATTATTATTATTCTTGCTGCTTGCCTTTGATATATCAAAAGGGTGAATAGCCCCTCTCTTAGTGATAATAATGACAGGGGCTATTCACCCCCTTGCTATATTAAAAGTGAGCACTAGGCGACTAGTTAACGTAATGAAGCGGACAAAAGAACAATGAGATGCTTGCGGATAAGTGGCCCACCAAAGCGGGGGTACGTACAAATATTTGGGACATCGGCACCAAACTGCAGCCATAGCTATGATGTGGTGCACGGACAAGCGACAGGATGTTTCTGGGGGCAAAAATATCCACATAACAAAAATTGTAGTGGCCGAAACGTCTCTGAAGACCCGCCCCAAGGCAATTGACCCTAAAAACTAGGACGAGCAACCGCTAGTGACCCCGCTAGTGACCTAGAAAAACAGCGGCTAACTCATGGGCCAAAAGTTAGATCCACGGCTGACGTTTGGATCAAACGTCTGGGCACGTATCTGAATACAAATGAGTATATTTTAGTCAGGTAGGTATTAGTTTGGTTTCATTAAATTATATATATATATATATATATATATATATATATATAATTTTTTTTCTAAATCTAGCTTCCTGTGATATTCGACCTGGCCGCATGTTATGATACGATGTTTTTGTCAGTTTTTGCCCTGTCAGAACAGGGCATTTTAGAAAATACTACATAAAACGATATTGCATATTAAAGACTAACCAACGACTGGTTCGATGTGAGAAGGCACCTTTTTAAAACGTAATTACCAGATTACTCTACGCGCTTTATTTTACTACCCGATAAATTTTCGACATAAAATGCAGCTTTTGACAAGCTTCAGCTGCCGATAACCGTCAGTGCGTATCTGTCAGATGCTGTGTTTTTCATAACGCTTTATACCAAAGGACAATTATAATACTAAAGATTGTATTGGATTTATAGGTGTGGCAGACCCTGTGAACAGACTCTTGTAGAACAGCGCATCTTACTCGCAGGCCAACTGACGCCATTTCCCACCATTGTGGACAACGCTGCCTGTTGCCTGGCAGATATTTATGTGTTAATTATCCGCAGAGTCAATTGTCATTTGTTCCACGGGAGTACCCCGTGGAACTCCCCTTAAAAGCTCGTTTCGCCAAACTTTCGTACACATAGCTTGGTGTCATTGCTTGCTCGCCGCATAAACATATTGATGGTGCAGTTTATAATAAATATAGGAAAAGAGAAAAATTTGACTCGGATAGAATAGCAGATCCGTTGTACGAAGGATTACTAAAACGGTAAATTTTGCAAATTTTCTTATGTGAAACACGGAAATGTGTGAGCTAGACACGATTTATTATTATTTTTTTTTTTATTTAAGAAGCACGCTACGGAATAGCACATTAATAAATAGAAGAACGAACTGGGAATGACCTTCGACCGCAGAGCTGCGTTGGTTTCTATTTATATACTCGTTCGACGTTACGTGCGCTGTATGTAGTACACGTGTAGCAAAGAGCGGATCTTCGACGTGAGTCTATAACGTGTTGATAGGACTTTAGGACATATTTTAGCGCTGGCTCGTCGTAGAATTCAGCTTAAATATCATAGCAGTCGGCCAAAGGCATGGATTTATTCGTATATCTGTATGGGGTTACCACTGTGGATGCGATTGCGGCACCTGTTTATGATGTACGCAACGATACGATTTCATCCGTACGAGAAAATGAAGTACATCTTCCTGAGCTCTGTTTGATCTCGCTGACGGTAGATTACATTGGAGTTCCGAATATGTACTGCCCCCTCTAGTCCATAGGTTCTCTGCACATCTCTAACTGCATTCACTTATGAAACCTCGATCAGTCAGTTGTAATTACGAAATATTCAATCTGCCCAGACTAATATTTCTCAAGGAGCTCGCAATACGAAACAAGTTGGTCAATATGTTCAAGGATTCCGATCAACGGTAGAAAACACGACAAAATTTAGCTTTTACTCTGTTAATAAAATATCATCACATTGTATCATACTAAAAATATGGCTATCCTTAGTTTGTTAAGTCTATGACGAGGAAATGGCCTCTGTGTGGGTATCTCGCAGCTACGAAATCCAGCAAGCTCAGTCAGAGCTCAATAACTCACCATTGTTGTGGCGGGCACATAGAGCCAAATTTACTGTTAATAGCATTACGAACGGAATATGACAGCGATGGAACTTGAGCCGAAAACTCCGGCTTTTGCAAGCTGAGAGGCACGGCGATCTGGGCGCGTTGCCCCATATTTGCGCTCATATGCGACCTTTTTTAGCATTAGACAGCTCCGGCACTCACTCGTTAAGCGCTATTTCGGACGGCTCACTCGGAGCACAAAACAACGAAGAGTCTCTGCGTCCTCATTTGAACCTAAGCCACTGCATATCCTATAAATTTAGCAGGTAGACACGTCGCCCACTGTGTTATATCGCATCCTTCCGGCGCTAAATGTCTTCAATTTTTGAAATTGTATTGTAGAATAATAATAATTCATGCATGGACGCCCTAACAATTGGACAAGGCCGCGCCGATGCTACAGTGACACTTTAGGTTTTCACAAATACCGTGATACGGAAGAAACGGCTTCAAAAAATGATAGAATTCAGATAAAATGAACACTTACTGTACAGCAGCAGCATATATGTCAGATAGGTTGCTATAAAATAGAGCTAAATAAAATTTGACAGTATTAAACAAAGGAAAGCGTTTGGCACCCGGTTACCGATGCGATGGTTCACTGAATTCCATAACATTAAATAGCCTGCTGTTACATACACGCGATGATCCACTAGGCTTATGAATAATATAACCTCTTAAAGCCTAACCCTAGTAGTGCAGACGTTGTAATACGAATATGAGAATATCGTATCAGGGCTTGGCGGAAGGCGGATAGTCCTCTGAGGACAGACATCTCAAACTATTGGCAGGAGACGTGGGCGGACTATAAACAAAGTATGGTTGGTGAATACCACAAAATAGCTTGTTGCAGATGGATGATGATGTGACACTTTACCGATACATATTGCAAAGAACATTCTATATGTAGGATTTGCCATATCAAGATAAGCGAAATTTAGACTTCTATAACACGTGAGTATCCATCAAAAATCAGTACGAACATATACATTACATTGATACGCTCTCTCTACAAAGCGACGACGGCTCTAAATGTCTTTCGCATACCCTAAACGCTCCTGGAGACCCCACAAAAAACAGGCTGAAGTTAAATTTGTTGTTTAACTATCGACTTCATAACTTCGTGTGTGACTTCGGCTAAGACATCACGCATGCTGCACCTGACGATGCTGAATATGTATCAACAGGGATTGTCATGTACAAATATACTTCGTCTATTTAAGTAAACTATCTACCGAAAAAATAATGCCAATACGAAGCGAGCTTTATTTAATTACGCATTTCGGTCGGGGCCGTAAGGGTCAGTCTTCAATGTATGGTTACAAATAAATAAGTTGACTAGATAAAATGCCATCCAGCAAAATTTGGCGTTTATCCCATGGGTGAAATAAAGGCCACACCACAAAATACATCATTCGAATAGCTTCATTTGTCAAAGTCGTTTGCTCAGATCGATGCACCCATATCTTGTAGGCTTGTCTAGTTTTCAGAATACTCTATACACTATGCCATTTAGCTGAGCCTTTTTTTTTTCTTGTAAAAGTTATTGTAGTACGCGCTGCAGAAGTTGTATTGCGGATTTGACACCGGAGTGAATCGCTGATAGCAGCCAGGCCCTCCATACGCTTTGGTTTAGGCTACGCATATATCATATGCGTTGACATTTAGGTTTCCAGAAGCTTTTACTTGGACAACGATAACCGTCGACTATAGACTATCTAGCTTCTAGATCTACCTACATAGTTAATAATGATGATCATTAGCCAAAGTTTTTTAGTTTCTTTTTTTTTTTTTTTGTTTTAAGTTACTGAATCGGGTGGGTACTTGTTGTGGTAATGAATTATAGTTAGACACGGTGCAAGGAGCAGGTTGAACCCAAGCAAAAGTGAACACCCGATGCACTTTTCTGATATCTTCTGTCATAGGTATACTACGCGACCTATGTGTGAAAAAAGTTACTTCTGCCAATGAAAATATATTTGGAATTACTGGGCTAAAGGAAATCCATATTTTGCTATTAGTTTCGATAGCAGTTTTTCTTACACGACATTCTGACTGAAACTTCTTCTTCTTTCAAAAAAAAATTGTTTTTATTATAAGGTATGGCAGTCCTGTTTACAGACACGGAGCCGCACTATTGAGTACACCCCATTGACACCTTTGAACGAGATAATATTTGCTTCTGAAATATCGACGACGGCTTAATAAAGTATAAATGTAAATTTCGTCCTGTTTTTGAACAAAGAAAAAAAAAGCTAGTTTGGGTAGAAGCTAGCTGGAATATATAAATGTTTCGTGAACAATTTTTACAATTAGCCGTTTCTACGGTGATGATGGTTCTACAAAGTTTCGCAAGGACATGCTACTGCGGACTGGTCACTTGAGGTAGCTACCTCATAGTTTGCTTTACCTCTTTTAAAACGTCGTCGAATTTTTATTATTTATTCATTTTTAAATCTAATCAGCTATAGTTAAAATAACATTCAATAAAATTTAATAATCAATAAAATGGCATCTGAAGTCTGCAAGATATATATTGACGACAACTATTTGGTAGTAGCGTCCGCTTTTTCTAGCAATGTATTCGTAAGGAGCTTGTAATACTTATTACACAGTGATAGTGCGTAAGCTAAGAATAAGGGCTGATTAGAATTATAGCCTAGGAAACGCTGACGGCCTATCGGATATATCGTGGAAACCTTTCCATATAAGAACGCTAGCAAATAACGAAGCATTTTTATTGATTTTTCAGGATCGCAGTGCACGACTTGGCGGTGGGACCTCCGTTAGCTCGGTGAACTCCGGAGTAACCCCGCTCATGATTTCATGCCAAAATGCTAATGAGCTGGAGGTAAAGGCCATCTTACAACGCAAGGTTCGAACCCAAATACACGTACGAATATATAACATTATACAAACGTATCTTTCTTTACCACTTACAGCTTCAAGATATTTCACCCGTGAGTTGATTATGTCAGTCGCCAGATCGCATAGTAATAGACAGGGGGAGTATAAACTAACTATCTTTTGTACATTGATTCACATAGGGTAAGATGCAGTAGCTCGTAAAGATTTACGAAGACTGCGCAATAATACTAATACGTATCTCTTTCTAGAAGCTAACGGCTAACGGCAGAAATCACTATTTAGTAATTATAATCAAGACATAAAAGCAGGGAGCGTTCAGTGAAATTTTTCTGGCTTTTTAGGAAAAAAGAAAAACGGCTACGGATGACTTACCTTGATATGTATGGAATTTGACTAATAATACCATAATAATGAGCAAATATGGTGAAAGGAAACGCCAAATTTTGATCAGGAGCCACGTTCCTAGTAAAACTCTAACTAATCTCATAAGCTCTAAACAAAATGACACACGCATATAATAGTTGAAGAAAAATTGTGTGAAAGTGTCGTACAGAGCTCTCTAGGCAGAGCTGTCGGGACAGCGTTACACAATATCTAACGTAACTCTTGGCCAACGAAGACAATGAAGGGTAGTTCTGCGTAACAATGCTCGATGTAAAGGGAACACTGTTTATCTCCAGACGTTCATTTTTCTTTAGTGAAGAATGTTCCTTATAGATCGTGTTTTGAAGAACTTCGGCCATTCAAATTATATTGAATAGTCAGGCCTAATTAATTAATCGTTTGCATATAACTCTTCAGACGAGAAGCTACGCTAACAAAAACAACGTCAACGTTATATCTGCACAGGGATATGTAAGCTCAGAAGCTCTTTAAGGAGAAACTCTAATGCACCTTACACGCTTTAAATGCCAGTCTCCTTAGGCTCGAAGCGAAAATCTGTGCTGTCGCCAGTTAATACGAGGCTATATAGAGAGCGTTAGTAGAACAAGCGAAGCCCCATTCAGCATCTCCGTACCTTTCGGTGGGAGCCTGACTGTAAGGCGCCTATGATCAAGGCATTAGCCTCGAACTATCCAAAAAACGATATGGCCGTGTCCGTGATAACGCGTTCACCTTGCCACATGTCCTTTTTGGATTCAATGAAGAAAAGAAAACAATCAATATAGCAAGTCCTCATTATGGTCGATTCAACTACGCCGATTGTACGGGCACTAAAGCCTGTTTGTAGAAACATGGATCATGCACATTCATTCAAGGTTCTTCAGACACACACACACACCCTAAGTCACTTATAGTTCTAGTCTTATATAGAGATATAGGTGGCCACACTTTCACCAAGTCTTTTAGGGTATGCGAGGCGCTCAACTATCACCTAACTACAAGAAAAACAACGACACAGGCTATTACTTTCGACAGATGGCTTGCCAAAGTATGAATCTTTATTTTTATCCACTTCTGTATTTACTCATGCACTTTTAATGGTCTCCAGTTGTCTAAAACAAAGAGGTTGCGCAAATGTTTGCTTCATTGAGGAACTCTCGAAGCGACTTTTATTTAAATAAATAAAAAGATTATTTTAATTTTTTTTTTTTTAATGCAAGACGATTAACTAGGTCGCCTGTTCTTACCAATAACTGTTTTGCGTTGGCAAAAATACGAATCTTCTGGCAAATACGTACTTAGCATTTTCTAGCCAATTTTCCATAACGGGAGTATATTTTAATATTGGTATATTACATATATTTACATAGGTACAAAAATATGTTTTAAGGATTTGCATTGCCTTATTGCTAGCGGTACAATTCTACACGTTTTTTTTTTCAAAGAGGCTTTACCTTTTGGCCGAATGTCAGTTGCACAGATTTTTCTTCGGAAAAATCGTGGACGTTTTCAGTGTCTCTATAAGGGCATTCCCTCCGGGGGTGATCTCATTTCTAAACAACGTATTGTTCTTCGTGCTGTTCGAGAACTTGAAGTCTTGTATTGTACTTAGATGTTTTTTCCTTCTATGGGTGTGTGAAGTGCGAGTAGGATGCTCTGAACATGGGATCATTGTATTGCCAAAAACTGCTGTTTCAAGGAGCGAATTTTGCGATGAGTCAGTCATTGCCCCCTGGTGACAACAATAAGTGTCCAAAACTGTGTGCTATGCCTTCTCGATAGTTTGAATTTCACGGTTTATCGATGGCGACGATTTGCTAACGCATATTTACGTAGTGTTCAAGTATCATATATATGCAAACATATGAAAGCGACTCAATTCCATAGCAGTATATACCGACCGAGAACCTTGGGAAAGTAGGGTAAAACTTAAGTTTATTGAGTTGCAAGCTTCGTAGTAGGCTTCAGCAGCCATTTCCGAAGCCTTGCAAAAAAAAGAATGCCTGTAAGTTAGTCTGTTGAGCCGATGGGGCGAAATGGCCACACGGGTAAAAGCCGGTACCTGCGTTCGGAAATACCACCAATCCTTTGCAAGTACGCTTTTCCTAAATTGACGAACAATTTTTTAATAATGGAGCTAACGAATGGGAAAAATCGTGACTGGTACGGAATAGCAGAGCCTCGCTCAAATACTGAACAAGTCTCTGCCTTAGCTAAATTTTTGGTTTTATTTTAAAAAGAAGTGACTTTTTTAGTACCAAAAACTCTAGTACAATTCTACCAAAATATGCCTTAACACATCCTGCATTGTAACCTTCTTTAGGTAGCTAATTAGACTAAAAAAGGCTCCAACTGTGAATAACTAATCAAATCAGTTTTTATCTTTACCCGCACACAAACGTGTGCGCAGTGTTTTTATCATCTAGCCTGGCTCATATTTAGGTAATTCAACTAGCGGCGCTATGTGCGACGTGCTCTCAAGAATCTTTCGGCTGTTTACAGATTCGAAGTTAATAGGCAACAATCTTAGCGCAAGGCTATCGTTGGTGGCCAAAATGTATAAAGCCTGTCAAAAAAATGTCCGCGCAAGTTTTTTTTTTGGCATTTATTTGCAACTTGAATTAATTGCCAACCAAGATAAACGGCACCAAGGGGACAGTATTCATGGCTAAACCCCTAATGATTCATCCCTATGAAGCGGCATCTGGGACGTGTTCAGTCAAGATCGTTCGAACCGTTCCATCGTTTTCCACGCTGCTCTTCTTCGTAAAGAGTCTCACAAACTACCTCTCAGTACTGTAGTTGCTAGCTTGCTTACAACTAGTATGTGTTTGTAATTTCTATAGCTGCGAAGAATTTGTGTTTCGTGAGCTGTAGCGTCCTTAATCGACAGTACGACCTAGTCTCACATGCAACGATTGCGTCGTTTACTGTCGTCCACGGCGTTCCGTGCCTGCTCCCTCCTTCAACCAACAGCCAGATGCAGCAAACGGTCAACGCCCAGCATCTTACGGTGTTCTATACTCGACCTGATAAATGAGCAGGAGTTGTCCGACTCAGCTAGATTTTGTTATTCCAGGAGCAAACAGGTATCCGACCAGCTTACTCTGTGACTAATCGCCATCGTTGCTGCTGGAAAGGAGCCGTAAGAAAAACGCACTCTCGATTTCTTCATTCATGTCTGCTAGGACGCCTTAATGTCCGCGGAGCCTTATAATAAGATCTAGCATGTCGCCTGTTTCGGAAGTGTGATCGCCAGAGCAGTTCCTTGCGTCTTTTACAACTCAGATAACATATACTCGGGTGTCGCAACTGCAGGTAACGAAAGACAACGCTTGTCAGTTTCTCCCATTTTTTGCGCTGCTGCGAAATCACTAGCAGTTTCCTAAGGCAAGGGGCGGGCGAAGGCGGCTGGGAGGTCGATCACAAGGTTTACTTTGGCTTGCTCTCGGCAAACTTGGCGTTACTGACGACTAAAGAGAAATGACCTTGTGACACTGCCGCTCAACAAACACGACAGCGGCGCCGCTGACGTTCCTCTCGTAGAGGATAGATGGAAGGCTGCGTAAAACGTTCATGACTACGCCGACACATTATGGTAATATCGCGTAAAGTAACGAAGTTGAAACAGGATATTCATGGAGACGTTGTGCCAGGGTTATAGCTACGAGAATATTGTAGATGAGAAGGCAAACCAATTAAGGCTAAGTTATACGCTACAGCAGCTGGTGGTCATACACTTGTTTCTATTTGGTAAATATGCCAAATATATCGAATTATCCTCACCAACACCGATCTTTGTACCTAATATCCGTGGCCCACATTTTAAACTAATTTCCGCGCACATCCTCAAAGGGCATCGGGCGTGCTCCGTTTACTCAGTTGCTCTCATGGGATGATTTACATGTGGAACACTTCACACTGAGGTATTAGAGAATATTCCAATTGAAGTATTGAACATCTACCGCTGATACTGGAGTACCATATTTAATCTGTAAAATTGTGACCCTTCAAGCATTCCGTACAGCCGATGTCATAGTAATTTCAGCTACATCTGCGCCCACTCGCAGACCCAAGTTTATCAGAGTCCCAGGGTTCTACAGTACACAATTCGAGTCACGTTATCAAAGCCGGTCAATTTAATTAATTGAAGCTGTCCCGGCAGTTCGCTCAGCAGTAAACAGTGCCTCTGTATTGTCTGCTAATCTCAAAGCATCAGGCGCTAACGTAGAAAAGCAAGCAGGACTGGCGTAATGTTACTGTAAGTATTTTTCATTCTCTGCCGTATCTCAGCGTACACCTTAGCCTGATCCTGGTATATATTGACGCTATTACACTTTTAATCTTCTATTGTAAGTTAGAAGTGGTCGGGTGTAACACGTTCGGGAAATCTAAACTCCATCAAAGAGATTATTTTGTTTTTTTTTTTTGTTTCCTGATAAGAAAAAGGTCTAAGACGTCCTCAATGGTATCCTTATAATATAGCGACGTATCCAAGAGCCTCTACTAAATATAAGGGACAACCTAGTCATTTTTGCGTCGTGATTTTTAAAGCTATGGGACGGGATTTCACTTCGTCAATGTGTCAAAAAACTACGTATTTTAGCTGATCTTTAGCAAACATTTGTTTCGAAGCACGGGGAAAATTTGAAGATCAGCAGACAGTTATTACTATGGCAAGAGATAGTTGGTTAATTGTTTGCCCCCTACGACCGTCTCATATCGCCGTGTTGAATGAGCATAGTAATCTAGTGGCATAATTAACTAGGCCAATTTTGTTAATTTACAGTTACGAAGAAAATCTATGAAACTTCATGAGGAATTCTCATCTCGACCAAAAGGAACTGACATTTACCGCTATTACAAAAGTGAGCGCTGATTGAAGTCGTTTACAAAGGTCACTATCCAGTTGTCTAACTAATGACATTATGTTTATGTGTCAATTTCTAGTCGGAAGCAGCATCCGTACGAGATAGGACAGGCAAAACGGCGCTTCATTATTGTGCCGAAAATCTTACCACTGCGTGCGCAGAGCTTCTTCTACATTATGATCCAGGTAAAGAAAAATTGCTGGAATTGTAAGTTTGAAATTGTCATTAATTAAATTCGGTATCTCTTGGCGACACAAGGATTGCTCTCTGAGATGGGAGAAGCCTCCAAGGTCGCTCAGCTTTACGTCTGTGTCGTGCCTTGACGTATGTCGAGATGGGCACTTCTTTGTATCCAATATCCGTAATTTCAATCATGTAGTTACCTACCGCAGCAGTTTTTTTGACCTATTGAGAGCTAACCCTGAAAGCCTCCGTGCGAATGAATTTCAGCTAATTCTGACTAAAATATAGTTGCGTGTTACGGTTCCACTACTTGTTGAGCGTTTTCGTTATAATAAGGCTATGAAAAAGTGGTAGATCGTTTTGCGTCAGTGGTACATTGTAATTTTCGCATAAGTTAGCTAATGACAGGTCTCCTCAATGCGCCTAACCACAAATAACCTTCATTTGCTCAAAGTAAAGAAAAAAACACGGTCTCACTCGAATCGTACATTACGTTTGATTTCCGCACACGTTGAATTTGTTCACACACGAAGTAGACAGCACCCCCTGACATCAAGGTATCGCATAAACAAATGTATTCAAACCAGATCTGACTACCCTTAGACAGTTCCCATGTGTACGCCGTCGAAATTTTCCAATCAAGCTTACCTACGCATCTGCGTCCATAATACGAATCTGACACGTGTGGCAGTAAAGTAGAATTTCTCAAATCGTTCGAGCGAAGTGATGTTCCTATCTATTCGTATGTTTTTTTTCCCTGTTCACCCAGGCCCTCTTCATTGTTACTACCAAATCTCCATGGTTATTTTTCTCCAAAAATTATTTACTACTTTTTCGCTGCTTCCTTCGATTGTTAGCCTTATAAATGAACAAAATCTTCTGTAAGGTCAAATCTGAAACCGAATGTTTCGTGAATTGAAATTAATTTTTTTCCGTTTCGTGTGATGTCTATGGCAATTGCTGCTGGCGTCCACACGAACACAGACCCCTATATATCGCAGTATGCGAGACGCTATGGGCAGTTCCTCTACACCTGCGTAAAGATGTCACCTGAATTAGTAATAACGCCACGTGTTTTACAGAGTTCGAGATAAATGAACTATGTAGGACTTCAATACTGGAATACGTGTATACGAACTATTGAAAACTGTTCGACCTATAATACGTTGTTCGCTCAGTGCATGGATCAGAAGTAGGGGATCGAAGCGGAACTAAGCTTTCCCCACCTGACAAATTATTTAGATCCTGTCGTTCTGTGATCTATATGCTGTTTGTTCTTCATTACGACTGTGAACTTGACAGAGGAAACCTCGTAAACTATAGATCGTACAGAATAGAGATGTAATTACAACTTAATTCTAATTAATGTTGTGTTGTTCCTTCTTATGTTAGGGTTACTGAATGTTCAGGATGAAGACGGTTATACGGCCCTGCACTTCGCCGTAATCAGTGGGAACAGAACGATCACGATGTACCTTATTGACAAAGGTTAGCAGGGAAGCAAACCACAACGCTTGTTTACTGTGGCTTGCGACCAGAGGATGATACAGGGGCATCGCATATTTTTTCCTGGCATCCTTCAATTTCATTCAAGTTAGAAGTCGTTAGCATAACGCCGTTGACATTTAGCAGGCACTCATGTAAAAGAACAGCTTTCCCTGTCTTTCTATACGGCGTATAATCGATCACTATCACATACCCTGAGGTCTAAGCAATATGACTGATATTTATCTAGTAAGTGTTAGCTATGTAAGTGTTTTTTCCGAGTTCAAAGGATTGTCAAAACTAGGCTGTAACTACAACACTGTTTTTCAACTAGACGTTATTATTCGATATGTACTACATGAGAGCACTATTGTGCAGCACGAGAGTAACAGTTAACCAGCATCACTGAGATGTAACCGAACCTAAAAGAACCAAAGCAGTACAAAAAAAGGTGTAGCTGACCCTATTTTTCTGTGTTCTACTTTCGAATTATGATTCTCGGGGTTTGCTGCCTGCTATTATCATCCTTCGCTCCCCCCCGAGTTTTTGGTCACTACGAAAAAGTCCGCCGTCTCGGCCAAATGAAACGCTACCTATCCTAAGCTGACTCTCGATACCAATCATAGCAAATCATAACAACTCGCACACCAAATAGTACACGGGCTTTTACCTTTTTGGTCCTCTCCGGAAGCCCAATTGAATGAACAGAATAGAATCAATTTTCAAAGAGCGGTTTGCAAAAGTGAGCGAGTTCTACAGCGGAATAGATATAGTTGTCATCTCTACTGATAAACGATAAGTTTTAATTACTTGTACGCTGCCCAAAGGCAGCTTTTTCGTGCATTGATCCTATTGTCGTCACGTCAAGTACGCACATTCATCGTATCCCCAATACGCCGCTTGATCTAACATTGAGATCACCGGTGTAGGACACTGGGTTCTCCACCGCAAAAGAACTCTAAGGCTTGTTTGGGCTGAACCGAAGGAGCAAATGCTAGAAATATGAACCTACGCTGAAGCGGGCCGCTGGTCTTTTTTTTTTCGCTAAAAATAGACCTCGAAAAAGTATCTTAGAGCGTTTGGCAGCAACTCTAGCCTAATTCCCCACGCACCGTTGCAGTTACTTTACCGTAACAGCAGGTCGGTCGGTTTCAAACTTCTATATATGGCTGTACACTGCTAATAGACATTAACTTAAAATGTACGTAGCCATGCTCAATCGCTATGATGCCGAAGTAGCAACGTCTCTGTTCAGTAGACTGAGTTATATGTCAGGTGGAACTTTTCGCTGAAAGAAATAAGCCGCAATGCCAAGCATTTGAAACATTAACTTTGTACAAATTGTTAATAACTTAACAACTAGAGCAAAATAGTAGGAGAAGTTATCAAGCGAGAAATTGTCTCGTTTATCTTATCTAGCTACGATTCAAAATCACCGCCTCATCGTATACAGATTTATTCTATAAGTACAATACGTTACACAACTTACGTGCCCAATACTTACGTAGCTAACACTTATTTGTAAATCCCTAACGCAAAGCAATTGAAGATAGTATGTTACATAGTTATAGCCGATTGGATCGTTCCAATGGACTCGGCTTCATAAAATCTATAATATATCATTGTGATTCATTAAGGAGCTGATATCAACTGCGTCGACAATGAGCGGCATACGTGTATTCACTGGGCGACGGGTACGTAATCAACAGCATTACTTAGAACAGTGTGCTTAACATCAATGGCGATATTTTTCAATATTTCAATAGTGTACCTTGCGACCTGATTACCCATGAACGGTAACCGATGGTTGCGTGTTTTGCCCTATCCTAACCTGCGTCATTTACGTGCTCAGTGTGCGGTGAGCTGGAATTGTTGAATATGCTCGTCGAACTGGGTGCTGATCCATCTACAGCGGACGTCAATGGTGCACATCCGATTCATTACGCGGCTCAAATGTGCGCGCCAAACTCCGAAATGGCAAACGATGTCCGCGCATCTCTACACGTCTTACGTAAGCTTATCTCGCTTGGTAAGTGAGCATCCGGCATCTGAGGGAGCGAAGAAATTGTATCAGGATACCACAGGCTATAATGTAAATCTGGTGTCTAAATTATAGAAGCTTCCACCAAAAGCAATCATACATCATCCATTGGAAACCCAGTCAGTTACCTTTGTCAATAAATACATACAATTTCTAATGGCGATTTTTCGAACGAACGAATAACTATGAGTGTGGGCGTTAAGATTTAGTCTCTATGACTTATAAATGTAATTTCAATATTACGAGGGCCTGCTATAGTAAAAGCATGAACATAATTAGTACGTATATATTATCGATGATGACAAAAATGCCGGCCAGAAATACGAACGCGAAGTTCAGGTTTCCGCCTCGTGATTTTGGCAGTCGCCAGACCTATGACGCGCTCACTGATTGGACTGGAAATATATCTGTGCTTTTTCCAATCTAACTTCTCATAGGAGATAACGCACATGTGTGCGCGATGACGAGAACACAACATGAACCGACCCTTTCATGTAATTATATCCCGTTAATTTCTAGCACTTATCCTATGGCACAGATATCTTTATTTAGCATCCGAACTATGGCAGGTCGCTTAACGCATTGATACTTTGCTACCTGCTCATTAGAAACAAATGACAGAGCTCGGGAAGATGTTCCAGATCTAGTTTAGCTGTGGCCTGGATTAGTTAAATCCCACCTAACGTTTCTCTACGTTTACTCTTCTTTACTGTTCGTCTGGATGCGCGCACACATTCGCTTTGTCCTGTGGCAGGAGTGAGTGTATCCGCTGAAGACGCCGACGGTCGTGGCCCCCTGCTCTGGGCTGCGTCAGGTGAGACGCTTCCGTCGAAGACGTATTGTGCCAGCGCCTCAGCAGACGCGATTCTAGAGCTAATCAATGCCGGCGCCGATGTGCATTCGGCCGACAAGGACGGCCTTACTGGTTAGTAATTAGGACAGGAAGACGATCTATTAGTCATATTTACATTCGGTAAACACGTATAGATGAAAATAGTATCGGGCGTCTCAGGCTACTTTTACAGACGTGCTTTAGCAATACGCTTTCTTTAAGAGTTAGATATTTAGGGTCGGAATTGCGTATGGTCTAATCGTCTCGTTGATCAGCGTGTAAAAATCATTTAAGAAATAAATAGTCTTAAATAGTCGATCCCTTAAAGCGTCACCCACGCGCGATCCTGTTTATCTTATTGCCGCAATTAAACACTGATATGTAGATGCAGTTGGACGTCGCGCTAGGCGGTAGTCAGTTGTGCGTATTAGACTTCTCACAATAAAACCGCATCGGCGGACTTTATGCATCAAGGTAGTTCCTGCGGGTCTATCCTGTTTTGTTCCTGTGAAGACACTGCCCCAGGACATCGGAGTGAACTTTCTGAGCTGTTAAGTTCGCGGTGTGTCGAATACGTTTACCCCTTCCGTAACTAGTAAACAATTCACTAGACACGGTTGGTTTCATCAACGACGATAGCGTTTCAACTGATTAGGTTGACAGTTGAAGAGGATTTCATACATGACTAAGTTCTGGCACGGTGATTCGAATCTAACTTTATTGCGCTTGAAGTTTAAAAATATAGGCCCAGAGCCACGAGTTACGCCGTAAACGCGAATCACAAAGAAACTTAAATGTCACGCGCAGCGATTCTGGGCCCAGTGGGCTCGTCGAGTAATACACATAGGAGTAAATTAATAAATCGCCGTGTTATATAATGCAGACAGACCGCAAGACAGCCTATTGTAGAGTGAAATTTCCTGCTGAAAATAGGACACTGTTTTTATGAATTCTAGAAAAAAAAAAACAAAAAACCAAAAGATGCACATTTTATGTAAGACGAATGTCAGCAGCCAAAGCATTTGGAGCTAAGCGCGCCTTAAACTCCTCCTCTTATAATAGTTATCTTAGATTCTTTAGAGCCTTATATGCCCTGTTGTGCTTATCGTGATAGTTGTCGTCATAAGCTTGAATTGTCACGCTTCCTCATTTGCAGCTCTCCATTGTGCGGCGAGCCGCGGTCAGGCCGAATGCTGCGAGACGCTGTTGGCCCTCTGTTCAGCAGCTGTTGATGTTCCAGACCTGAACGGTTGTTCTCCACTCTTCTACGCCGTTAGTTTAGGACATGCTGATTGCGCAGCCCTTCTTCTCAAACACGGCGCACAGCCTAATCTGCAAGACAAGAAAGGCAGAACGTAAGATTTTTCAAAAAATATTACTTTATGTATATATAAGGGTGGGGATGCAGCAACCCATGCTGAGTTGGTTTGCTTAAAGAATAATTACGGCTATTATTTTTAATATCCAAAGACCATTATTATCGGAGATAGGTTTTACCAACAATTTAAAACGAGCGAGGAAAAGTGTCGAGAATTCGCGTTTCTGTTACATTTAAGCTGAAGTTTAATAGCTCTGTCCTCTGAGTCCGTTTGTCGTCTATCGTATACGGCTTGTATTCAGTTTGTTGGATTTTTTGTACTTCAAAGAAATCAAAGTGGAATAAATTATCGTATAATGGTATTAAAAACAGCCCTCTCTGTAATGAAGCTGCGTATTCAGGTACTCATGCTTCATAGCCCTGATAGCATCCCTGGTTGAACTTGAACAGATATCGATACTTCACCACAACGCTGTATACTGTACAATAATTAGTGAATTAGAATCTTTTAAGCTCATTCAAAAGATCAGTTTGATTTGTACTATGGAATTCAACTCCACTTCTAGAGCCAAGTAACAAGTATTTGTTAGAAAGGCAATGTATTTTAAAAGCGTGCGTAGATATAAAATTTTCAACGAACAATAGTTGTTTGATTTTTATTGCTACTGTCGACTATATTTGCTGCATCGATTTACTAACGCTATTTAGCTTTACTTCACCCTCTTCGTCTGCTCTAACCTTCATTTATTTACCTCGTAGAGCATCACACTGCGGTGCATCGAAGGGACAACTCGAAACGCTCAAGATACTCTTCCATAATGGCGCCAACTTATGGATACGCAATGCGAAGGGCGATCTGCCATTGCATGACGCTGTTTATTCAGGTACAGATGAAAATGTTAAGCTGATTCAACAAACTGTGACGAAATGTCGTATTGAAGATAAAGAAAAAAAAAATGCACAATTTATGAAAGTTTGCAAGTATTCCTATATAGATGTATAGCAAAATGTAACTACGCTTGTCATTGAAAAGTTCTGTTTCACTGATGTGCGAACTGATGTTATATATACATGTATACATTTGTTGAGGTTTGCGCAACTTCACGAATACCTCGAAGCGTTACATATTCCTGTACCTAGGTTTGAAACCAGGCGTAAGCACACGGTTTGTGTTTTGCTGGCAAGGTCCAGCAGCCGTCTAAGGTAGCGCTTGACAAGGACAGTAGCATCAGAGATAAACGTTCAAGTTTTTATTTTATTGTGGCAACCATACAAATTATTTCGGTACGCGAACCTTTCTTTTGGGTAGCTAATAGATATAACAGAAATTATTGACAGCCAAAGAGAAAAAGAAATTTCGCGACGACCCACAAAGCTGCTTTCAATAACCAGCGGCCATCGTGCTGCTATCGTTGTTTACGCTATCCAGCCATAGTTGGGCTTGCGTAACGAGTTCACTGGCGAAGAAACATTTCTCCATATGTCCGATTTCGCCCTGCCCCAGGCGCCAGCCCTTTTTCCCCTCTAACTCTATACATATATTTATAAGGTTACGTCCTAACGCAGGGGAAGGCTGGCCGCCAACTCAAAATCCTCAGTCGATCCTTCCTGGGAGAGCTACCCGGTTTCCATAAAAAAATAGTTTTCGCCGAGCTGATCTTATTCACAATTAGTCTTCGTGGACCAGTCAAGTTCTTACTTGAATACAAATTTACATAGCGATTTAAGCGATTCTAGTTCTGGTAACGTGCATTAGCGCAGCAGACTGGTGAGTTAAAAAGTGCATGTCGGTGGTGAAGCACGCACAACGGTAGATATTCAATATACGCCTACGTGGCGGGGAACAGTGCACGCTCTGAGACCCTGGTCGATTACAGGAGCTGAATCTCGTTAAGGCTTCGGGTGACCGAGAAACTTTTACTCACCGTCAACTTCACTCTAATCCACCCCTATAGTCACACAAGTTAGTTTAGAGACTAAGTACAATCGCGTTCCTGCCCATTTAGCCCAAACTGAAAATTTGAACCTCATTTATAATACATCGTCGGCTCTCATATATACGTATTTGCACTAGCATAGAATAGTAGATATTAAGTGAATAACATATAGTAAAGAAGTTGGTATCCTGTATGTCATGTCGAAGAACTGTACCCCCTCCCCCCCACCCCACCCACCCAGAACTGCATTCAGCTGTAAATATTTTCTGTTTTGAGTACATAAGCTAATAGTCAAGCAGTAATAGTTTGCAGAAGCATCGCATAATCCAAAACATTCTCAGAGGCTCAAACAGGATTCAGTCAGCGGGCTACAGGATCACAACACATTTCGGTGCACGTATAGACGCGCGTTGAACTAAGATATGTAACCTCGTAGTGACTCGTGCACTCTAATTTTTTGCAGGTCGTCGCGAATTAGTCCATTGGATGCTCGACCATCAAGCGTCATCTGTCAATGCGGCCAATTCTAGTGGCAAGACGGCGTTACATATCGCTGCGCTTGGCGACTCCATCGAGATGTGCAAAGTCCTCATGGACTTCCGCGCCACCGTGAATCCTGTTATGAGGACTAATAAGGTATACTAAATCCTCCTACTACTACCGTGATTATGAATATTTTACCACAAGCTGGCAACACTGAAAACAATGCGGAGTTTACGTGAACGAAACTATTGCAAAGACGCAATTAGTGTAACGTTAATAATATTGAACCTGTCGCCTGAGTTCCTGAACCTGCACTAGAATAGCGTTCGATGATTTTTCGAGTCAGGATCAAGATGTTCCGAAATCCTAGGTAGGTAGCTGTCCGAGATTGTATAGTGGGAGTAATGCTAGATTGTTTTCGTAATAATTCTGCATATTATGAAGTAAATGTTGGCCGTGCCTTTTGTCTTAACTCCGTATTTAGCTGTTACTGAAAACGTACAAATCTTGCTCTTATGCTAGATGCTGATGAAGATATGATACTAAAATAGAGATGTACTTGTTATTTTAGCAATTTCCAAAGAATTTTATTCTATTAAGTTACTACTACTACTACTACTATAAAGTTACGTGGAGTAAGTTGGTTACAAAACTAGTCGTTTCAGTACTCGGAGAAGTCACGGATTGTCTCAGTCGGTAGCCTATAGACCTGACTTTGAAACGCTCTAATTTGTTAGGAAATTACGCGGAGCGATGGAAGCTGCGTATTTTGCTTTACCAGTTCTACTAGCTACTAGAGTTCGATTTCCGTTATTTACCATAGGTTTACTCTAGTTGAACACTTTATTAGCCAAGATGATCTAAGATATATTCAGATAGAATATAACATACAAAGTGGATTTTCTTTGCAGTAGAATTCTCTTGAATTTCTTCAAGTTCCTGCTCTAACTCTGTTATATCTCGTTTACAGAGTGTCCTCATGACTCCACTTGATGCGGCCCTATCACGGGGGAACTCATCCGTGGCCAAATATCTTGTCCTTCATGGAGCCTTGCCTTTTTCCAAGATCACCGATGTTCATGATGTGGACAGCTGGTTACAACATAAGTAAGTTCGAGTTACGCGTGGATGATTTGCTCACACAGCCAGACTTATTAGTAATATGAATTTCAAATACCGGACCTATTCTTGATGAGAAACGTCAAAGCAAATCAGCATCTTTATACATCTCTTATGGAGTATAGTTTAGACATACCCAGCAAACAAAATCAATACCAGCATACATCTAAACCTCTCCGTATGCTTCGAACTAAAGTTATACATATATAATAAGCAGTTTTGTCATCCTCTATTAGCATCTTTCAAATAAAATTAGCTGGTTATTATACTGGAAAAATCGACTTTGGCAGGACGAATGATGAGAGCTCTGCTGTTTCGGGTTGAACCTACTCGAATTGGCCATGCTGTATAGCCCGCCCACTACGTTTATATATAGGTAGAAACAGCAAAAGTTATTTTTTTACTGTTATTCGTTTTGCCTTCAGCGAAGATTCCTTGCTGGCTTCATCTGCACCAGCATGAGCCAACGACCTACGAGTGGGGATGGAGGACGTCTTTCTTATTATTCATGAGAATCTGCGTGCAGTAGTAGCACCACAAGAGGCTCTTCCGTTGGGCAAGACTTGGCCGACACTCGGTCCTTTTTTTTTTCTATTCGTAAAAATAGGCGCAAAGCTCTGGGTGCAGCGAAAGCTTCATTTCATTTTAGCTGGCTAGACAAAATTGTGTTTGTCAGATCATAGAGGACTCAAACTAGGGCTGTACATGACGCGCGAGCAAATATGAACGGCTGCCAATCGATCTATTCTTGCAGTACACGCTAGATGTTCGGTTTACATTTTATATATATATATATATTATTATTATTGTTTATGTGAATTGTTCGATTATTTACATATCAGAAGAATAATAAGTTTTTTGACTAGAGGATTCCGCCTTCTTCCGTGGACCATCTCGTTTGTTTAGTCTGCCTTTACCTACGTACTTAACAGCAAGTACGCACTTATTAATACTATGAATACGATTGGTAGACGTTAAAAGGTACGAATAATTTTTGATCCTCTATCTAGACGATCTGTGATAACTCTCAATAATTTTATTCTGATCGCAGTTTTATCCAGAGCGATCCTGACGATAGTGGGGACAAAGACAATACCTCAGCTGTTCATGATAGCACATTGCCCCCGGGAAACGTCCCGCGAGAGAGTCAATTTGGTCCACGCACCGGCGCAAGCGGTGCAGTTCATAATCGGCCACGTTTGGGAGCTACGCAGAGTGATGAAAGGGGCACCTTTGTGGGAACCACTGGAGGTGGCAAATCTGTCCTGGATGCTTCTCTAGCTGGGCATACTGACTCGGGTTATTATGACACATCCAAGGATAACAATAACCCGAACGTTACCAACGTACAGGTACGACTGAAGATAATTAATTATTCTATGACACTTCAGTGCAGTGAAATCGATTCTGAATCAAAGCTTCAAATAAGTTCCGCAAAAAAATATTCACGTTGTATATAAAACGCGTTATATATATTATAAACAGAATCAAAATGGTATAATAAAGCATTGAGACCCGCTCAAATCACTATTCGGTGTATTGAAATAATTATAGCACTACCAAATACTGTTCCTATTATATAAGCATGAGCAATGTCAGCGCTTTTTAGTCTCGTGCAATATCTTCACAACATTCAATCGGTTTCTTTTGTATTTAAGGTTCTATTAAACTCGCCACAGTTTGTCCGGAAGGCGGATCAGCTGGCTCAACAGCAGCAGCAAACACAACAGGTACTCGTCTCAAAGAGTATCCAAGACCCTGTTGGAGTCGGTGGCCGAAATATCATCACGAATGTGTACCTTGGCGGAATAGGTCCTGGAATAGTCGACTATCTGCCCGTACCGGGTAACCCCGACGACGAAGCGTCGATTGTCACCAGCGCTAAAATGTAATTTCTATTTACTAAATTAGACAACAATTGGCAAACCAGGGTTTTTGTTACTTGTTTCATGCGTGTTTGAAATGATGTTTGTGAAAAATACCTTAATGTTGTGTGGAAAGATGAACATTTGCCAAGGCTTAATAGAGTATGTTGTTTCACGGAAAACGGCGCAAGTTATAGCTGCTAGACAACAGATGTACTCTCGTGTCATACGAGATTAGACCTAAGTTATAAGAAGGTCTTCAAACGAAAGCAGACTCTGTCTAATGGGCGGGGATGGCGCACGAGCTTGCGAATGAAATACGTAAGCTAAGCAAAATGCGCTTCGGTGAGTCAGGGGCGTCTTCTTACGCCCAGATCGTACAACATGGACCTGGTAGGCCGCAGTAGGTCTGCCATATATGTGACATGAGAAAGAGGGAACCGTGGCATTGTTGTCACTCAAAGCAATGACTTACGTTCCACTGTGGGAATCTGCTGAGTCTGACTTGAAACATTTGCCTAAGTAAAGATTTTACTGAGAACCTACCGTCTTCGAAGCTACCCGTGGCGTTGAGGGATGAAGCTATTGAAGACGAGCTTCGAAACGATATTGGATTATAAAATATACTTACATAATGCACAGTGTTCTATAAGCTTGCTTATATTGCGTTTCTGAAACATGCGTCTCTTCTTCAGGGCCAAAACTGACAATCGATCAGTGAAAAGATTGATTAGAGTAATATCTCTAATTGAGGGTAGTTAGGAAAAAAAAACAAGATTTCATTCAATACAGACAAACTTGTTGCAACGCTGTTGTAATGACCTGAAATCAATTTGATCTCGTAGATTAATTGGCTAAAATGGTCTAGAAAAACACTGATCAATAGACGGAGGCAAACATTCGAACATTTCCATAAGGTCGCACACTTACCAATCTGACTCTACCTAAAAGCCTTAGAAATGCTAATTTCCAACAAATAAATTTTTTGTCAACTATCGCTAATCTGGTAACATGGCCATATCTGAACCACGTTTGTTCATTGCTGCTTATGCGTCTTGAGATCGATTTTACGCATTTGATTAACAATTAAAAAAAAACGTATAAAAAAAATACGTCTCCGCCCTGCATTCACTAAAGACATGTTCAAAAATCCATGTATCATAGCAACTATAATAACTAACATACAAACTAAGGAAGGCGATGCACAATAGAGAAGCCTCAATACCAGCCATTTTTAACCAGCAAACGTCGATCAAGGATGTCAACTTCGAATCCGATCAAGGGCCGGTTTGTCTGCGCAGTTTGTTCCCATATTGGCCAGATGAAGCGGATTTTTATAAATATTGACAACACGAATACTGATTTTGTTTAGGAGTAAACAGCAGAGAAAAGCATTCAAAATGAAATATAAAATATATTGAAACCCTTTTCAATTGTAACGCATCTTGTTTGGTTTCCATTTTCCACGTTTACCTTAATGGGGCCTTGATCAACCAACGACAAGCGTCCATGGGAAAATCGGGTATGTATTATATCCGTGTGTGAGTTCCTCGGTCATTTACTTTTCTGTGGCCGAAGAACTTCACAGAAGGCTGAATCGGTTATTACTCGTTACGGTTTTCAGAGACTGTTTACATAGGACTCGCTAGTACCTTGAAGCAGGTCTTGTCGCTTTTGCTTTGGAATACCTGTCCGATGTGGAACTTGATATTAACAGGACGTTTAAATATATAGCATCCACCATGTACGTGTAACTGGTTGCTGTGCCATGTTTCAATATCAGTTTTCTTAAAAATAAACAAAATCACTTGGAGCATTTGAAAACGTATCACGATCGCTAACATTTCGTGCGAATATAAAGATTTCCTAAATATGAACATGCCGCGTCCGAAGATCACTATGTCCATTGCAATCGGAAGCCGCATCCCAATGAAGAAGTAATTTTCTTCAGCATCGTTGGTAGTAATTTTAGCCAAACCGTTTTCATTTTGGCGCCTTTCTCTTTCAGCAACGTTGTACAAGATGAGAACGAAAACAATGTTCTACTGACATCGAATATTGGGTCTGGTGTAGACCCCGTGGACGGAAGCAACCTACAGGTATACCCTGACGATGAAACTGATGCTTCAAGGACGGACAGCCGAGCGCGGAAGATGTCGACGGCGGAAACTGTGGACGTTGCTATAACAGGTGTAAGGGAATCAATATTGTTTGCCGTTAATGTTGAATCTCTTGAAGTAACACAAATGAGACATCAACGAAGTTTAGTTGAAAAAAACAGTTCGATGATATGCTTGCTTGTACATCAGAATCAGCTTGTCGCAATCGTTACGTACACAGAGCATGGAGCAAAGCGATAACATCGTATAGGAATTCGTCTCAATGACAAGATTAAAATATGTTTGTAGAACTCATCAGCGTCGAATAAAGCCAAATATGATCGTGACTAGGGATGGGGAGTTTACTGCAATATGGTTGCCTATTGGCAGATGTATGAGATTAAGAAAGAAGACAGAATTTTGGTCATTCACAGATAAAAATTGATCTTCCTTCTTCAAGTAGCTGAGCTAATTTCATATGCTAACCTATATAAAGCATCGCACCTTACATGTCGATGCTAATCGACGGTAAAATTGTTCACAGTACGAGAGAAAATGGTTGAAAAGCTACTCAACGGGCTATCCACATGCTGAGCCATTATGAGTTAGCCTGTGCTTTGAGATGTACATTCGATATTTTACTGTGCCATAGGCCCATGAAGTGGGTTCGGAAAAAGGCTAGAGCTGTAAGCAGATTTCAAATGGTATGCGATCCTTACCGTGTCTTCATTCATCATTTCAAATTGCGGATAGCATCATATCATTGAAAAATTATAAATGCATCTTTTCTAATGCATTGGATGAATAAGCTTATCATAATCAATCAGCGTCGTTTTGTATGTACCTGTCACATCCTGAAAAAACAAGCGTGCTTCTTCGTACTGTTTTGTGTTTGCTGATAACCACTGTTCAGTAGTATTTTCACTATTTAGTGCAGTTTCATTGCCCTTGACCTATCTGTTTGGCTATTAGTTAGAGGCTAGTGAGGGTCTGAGTGGAGGAGGTGGACCTCCGCCACCGCGGGCAACTTCATCGCCTAAAGGACAGCAGCAGACATCGGGGCAACAGCCGCTGGATGAACTCGACACAGTCGAGGCAGTTCAGGTTTGTCCTTCTAATACATTGTCCTTTTTTAAGCTATCTTCGTACGCACTTTACTGTTGTCCATCCAATTACGTGTGTGTGCAAAGCACAAAGTGTAAACATATACAAACGATAGCTGTATAAACGGCAGCTTTTCGTCGTTCTCACTCATGTCGAATGCGATAAAGTTCACCGTTCACTATATTTGATATTAACACTATATTTTTTCTTATTATTATTATAAACGTAAGTATATTTGTGTAACGCCAATCTACGCTTGGTGTGCGGTGTCAGTGTTAAACATGGTCACCACCGACGTGTACCCGTCCATGTGCGATAGTTGCATTTTTCCCTTAGGCAAAAGGTGAACTTAGAAGTGCGTTCAGTTTCAATGAAGTTGAGATAGGCATCAACAAACGAGTCAGCTTAAACTTACTCAAGCTACGATTGCGGGCGATCTTAGAGCGCCAGAAGGTGAGACGCGAACGTACTAGCTGTTTCCGTTCATACTGTTGATAATAATTAAGCAAGAGATGTTACTTAGATGAGGTTCGACGATTACTGAAGCACTTGTGAGACAATGGAGATAACGAAACTTGTTTAGCTAGGTTAACAGGCGTATGGTACACGTACGTAGAGCGTACGGCACCTAAACTGGGACAGCCTTTGGCAGCGTGCTCGTCATACTAGACACAGATACCAGAAGCCAGTCCTTTCTAGAACAAGAAAGCGGACTTGGCGGAAAATCATGCGTCGTTTTTGCAATGCAATCTCTCCTCGCTGAAGAAACACCATCCAGTATTAAAAAAAAATATACATCCTTGCCTGAAATGCACTGTCTTCGTTAATGGTAACGAGAGTTCTAAAAAGTCCGGGAAAATCTTCCATGAAAAATTCGGAAAGATACTGGATAGAGTTTAGATTCAGAGGGCTAAAGATCACTGAAACCGTTCTAAAGCAATTGTTGAAACATCTGAATTTTTTTTTGTACAAAAACTAATGGCCACTTTCTAGAGAGAGAGTTTTATCGTTTAGATAAACCCCAATGGTTAGTTTTTTTTTTGGTACTTTTTGCATGGCCATTAATGGAACTGTTGCATTTCTAGATCTTTTAGTCCGTTATCACGCCTAAAGGGAATTCTCTATAGCAGCGTGCGAACTGCATTTCCATCAGTTTAAATTTACCTATATTTCTCGGTACATGGTAATCATTGGAAAGTTACTTGCGGATTAAAAAGAGAATATTTAAAAGACTACTGAGCAGTATCGAGCTGAAGTTGTAATCGCGGTACATGGTGGTTATATTAAATATACATGATTATGAGGAGTGACACTTTTCGTAATTGTATGCAAAAAAATTTAGCTAAATTTTTTTTCTGCTTTAGATACGGTACAAACAAAAAAAAATTTTTAAAAATCCTAATTTAGATGCCGTATCCTGTACATGTATGATAGAACATCTATATCAGAATGAGTCGTTTCTTAATCTGTCTTTAAATGAACGAAATGTTTTGTATGTGTTAGAGGTGTCACTCCTAAAGGTCACGTGTATCTAATTAAATCACCTCTATTCATCGTTTCTACATTATACGTAACTTAAATAATTTTAAAAATATTCTCCCTTAAATTCAGAACTAACTCCGACTAGTATAAGCCGTGGATCTGCTTGAACTTGTTTAAGCATCGCTCAAATACACTGTCTATGCAAAGCTCCGCACGAATTAAATTCTGAGCGGATAGGGCACCAAGGGTCCTAAAAATGCATAAACAAAGAGGTGCAGAAGATCTCAAGAAGAGCCAACCATTAGGGTTTTTCTGGACGATCAAGTTGGCAATCAATATTCTGCTTATCAAAACGGCCGTTCGATTCTATATAAAGGTCCAGATGTGGATTTTTAAGCCCTTTGCGAAGCTTCGGGCTCTTTTCCTGGAAATTTTGCTCAGATCTTTTAAAGGCTTTTAAAGGTTTTTATAACTGGCAACAAAACAGGCTGTCAATTTCGGAAAAAAAAGGTTTTTAATAACCGTTTGGTTTCGTCTGGAACGAAAAAGATGGATAACTACCACTATTCGCTGAAATTCCAGAAACGATGTACTGTTCTAATGAGTTTTTAGTTGTTATATCAAAATATGGCTCTTTTCGGGTATCTAGGATAAAGAACAATGCGTATCCGCGAAGATAAGCAGTTTGCCAAAACTTGTCCGAATTTGGATCCTCCCAAATTTGAATATAGAAATTGGATTAAATGGCAATACCAACTAGAAAATCTAGTTTCCAAGTTCGTTGTATAGGATTTAAAATACCGCGCGCTAGAGTGGCTCAACTAAAGTTCGGGATCGTCGGCACAGATTACTTGCTCCCAGCGCAAAAAAGTGTGTCTATATCGTATTCGGACCTATACCACAACGCACCCCTAATACTACCACGCAAATGCGTCACCCACTACGCTATCACGGAAACATCTGCCAGCTGAGACACCCGAAAAAAGGACCCTATCAGATATTAAGCAAAGCTTAGCGGTTCCGAAAGCCGCCTGCGCGTAACGTCCTCTTGTTTATATATATATATATATATATATATCTATATAGGTCTAAACAATAGCATGTATATATTGTGAGGCAAAAATTTAGGTCCGGAAAAGTTTCCTTAGGGGACAGCAGACTTTGCTTGTAATTTCAATAGCGCTCCAACGTTTTAGCTCAAGTTCGACGTTTTTAAGATAAATATTTATAGAAATGTTTTCTTAACCTTTTATTTTCAGATACATACTATTATGTACATACGCATAATTGAACGGGGGTTACCTATAAAACTAGACAATTTAAGTTTGTTCTCTGCAGGATTATGTAACCACAACCCGTCGTACTCGCTTCTCGCCGTAGTTACTTCATTTAATTGATTATTTTCAATGTATATTATATAATAAAATGAATAAGTAAGTTTTAATGCCGAATCAATATTTACTCAGTAAGTGGCACAGTTTACACACCAAAATCGTCTATCTGAGCTACGGCTCTTTCGGCATTGGCACAAGGAACAATTCAATCTCTGCACCTATATGAGATACAATTCACTGGGTGCAGGAAAAGCCTAAACTAGAGACTAAACGAGACTTTATAGACAATACGTTATTCAGTATATTTTCATAGACATTCATTACAAATATTTCAACATAGAAATATTTATTACTATATTACATCCTAACAGTTAACGGAAAGCGCTCAGATCGATCGAAGACAAATACAGATCTTCCAAATTACTCATGTAGGTACAGTCTTTATGAGCGTGGTTCGTTACTTCGGCCTTGTTCCCTTTGCAGGAGCCTGCCTTTGCTCGAAAAGTCATGGATGCTGAGTTGCTGCCCGGCGTTGATTATTTCCTCATCGGCGAAACAGTTTCTGACACTGCTGTTTCGGCGATGCCCTTCGTAGAATTGAGAGATTCAAGTACAAGCCCTATTGCATGGCTCAATACGCAAATTGAAACTATCGCGACGTCGGTAAGAGATTATCGAATAGTGATAGAGTATGAGGTCAGACTTTTGTTTTTGTTAGGAAATTTTACGGGTAGAAAAGGCGTCATAGCACTTTCTCAAGTGCCTACTTAGTAATCCTAGCTATATCGTTCGAACGGTAGCCATGTGTAAAACTTAGTAAAGCTACAACAATACAATATATGCAACAACCTACCGCGCACAAACTATGTTAAGCCTTTATTGTTTTCGTAAGTTTTACCGCTCGTTAGTACAATTATTTCCGTATATTTTCTGCTACATTAATGGATATCAAACGGACAATCAATTAACCTAGTGAGGAAAACATGTTAAATGTAAACTTCTTTGAATTGTAATCGTATCTACCCATATCAGTATTTTTTCTGAGCTACCGCATTCCGTCGCAGAAATGTTACATACGTATATTATAAGAAGTAACATGGCGTAGAAAGCCGAAATTTTCCTTATAGGTTTCGAAATAGTCTTTCTTTTACTTCTTTAGAAATGTTCCGTGATTTAGAAATAGATTTGATAAATGTACGGGTTTATTGCAGTGTAATGTTCATACATTATGCTGATCCATACACAAATTTGTGCTGGTGGAACCTAATGTTAGGTTACGCAACGATACAAAAATCGAGTTTAGGTAGCTTGGTTGGACGCTCCATTTGAAAAGGTGACGTACTAGAGCGAAAGGCGAAGGCTCGAGTAAGCGAATCAGGCTCATCTTCCACCATGACACTTTTGATAATTATGTCCGTAGTCATCATTATGGATGTTATTACACCTTGACCTATAGGCTCCTAAATGACTTCTTACACCAAAAATGTCGTCAAAACAGGTGTAATACATGGGTATGATGTGTATTGAATATTTTGTTCTGCGTTTCCGTTTCATAGGACGTAGCTGTCGGCGGCGCGGATGATGCTGCCGTCCTTGACACCGAGGATACGGCCTCCTCCCCCATGGCCACTCTCGCACACGAATCACAGGGCGTCCAAACAATACCACCACCCCCAACTGAGGACACGCCTTGTAGTCCCATTGTTATCTCACCCCTTGAGAGACATGCGGACATGACTGACGGAGAAGCAATGACCGACCTAACTATGGATGCTATTAATGATACCGTGAGTGGTGCTTCTACCTCCGACAGGCCGAAACCAATCAGGTTAGTTATAACAAACATCGACCTTGTTCGTATCAGGTTCAATTTTTGGCTTTAAAAAGGTACGCAGTGAATATATACAAATTGTCGAAATCATCATTCTTCCGCTAGCAAATGTAAATAAGTGCCGACCATATTGGTATAGTTAAGAAATTTTGTTATATGCATATATTATGTGACGTGCACTTAAAGCAGATAGCACGCGGTACACTTAGTGCTGCCAACATTCATTGCCCGATACACACAACTTAAAATATTCCAAACTATCAGCATCGTTCATCAATCGTCTATAGTCCATCGGAGTTTCGATGCGGATTCGGGCGTCTATTGGGTGAGCCGTTTTGCAGCACACATCAAAAATTAATGGCAAGATACAGTTATTATATGGTACAGTTTATCGCAACCCATCGATGCAAACTTGTACAGTGTGCCTCATTGATTATTACTATGATTCTGCAGTACGTCAACGGCCGTGGGCACGCCGGTAGAATGTGTTGATGCCCACGTCGGCAGCTCGCGTCCAGTATCGAGAAAGACCATAAAGTTTGATCGATCCACTAGTCCGATTAAGATAGCAGCCTATAGCACTCCTCCAAGTGAACACGCTAACGAACGGGAAGAATCTGATCCCCGATCAAGGTCCGACCGAAATCTACAGGAAAATAGTCGTCCTTCGGATGATGCCGCTGCTGCGACAGGAGACGCAGATGCTGAAAGTCGCACTTCAAGTTCAGTTGATCTGGGCGTCGAGCTGGACGCGGGTACACCTGTTTCATTAGGAGAGCAACCAATGCCTGACATCACCAGAGGTGATATTACCAGCGACATGGTAGCCGACATCGAGAGACAGCTGATTGTGAGTGCTAGCGCAGACTGTTTGGACGAAAAAGCGTAGTTGAAGCAATATTCCGTTATTACTTCATTCTACTAATAATACATACTTCTATATTATTCTTGCAACTTCTAACACCATATCATACGTTTAATGAAATCTACGAGAAAGTACGTCGTATTAAAAACAATTTACGTTTCCTCGAATTCAGTTACCTGAAATTTATGGGACTACCAAATTTTCTTACACTAATACAATTATTAATTACATTGTATTACAAACATTAATTTCTATCAATTTCAGCGGACCGAAACGAATCTTGGAAGTCCACATAGTGCTATGCCCGAAAGCAATCAAAGCTCGGAAATACAACGAAAATATGCGAACGCTATGGCCGCCGTAGGTGAACAGTTACCCCAATATCACAGGTAGGATTTTTCATTATAATGTAGTGAAATATTAATTATTCATGAATTATAGCATACACTACTAAAACTGTTATCGTGAGCAGACCATATACGTTTTCTTACCTTATTAAAATTATTTATTATATTATCGATGAGAACCCGTTTTTTTTCCTATAATATTAGACTTCGCAGATTTTTTCGATGGCTGTATTCTACAGTAATATAAGCTTATGAGGCGTACATTGCTACAGCAGTCATCTACCTCGAAATAACATATACACAGATTTCCTCCAGTGCTTCGCTTTCTGCTTCGGCTTGCATGTTAGGCCAGGTACAATGGCCGATGATTCTGACCTCACCCGGCCTCGAAAGGTGCAGCGAAAACAACCACATCATCTCGAACACCACCTCGACTCCCTCGCCGGAGCAGGATTTCGAGGGCATACCCAAAATGTCAACGAAGATATCGTCAAGACGGTTGGCGATAGCATTCGCAGGTAAGCGCGTTTTAAATCTGTTAACTTTTATTTTTGAGTGAAATCCTATCAAAAATCGAAAAAACCCACAGGCAAATGACTACCTGCCGTCAGCAGTCAACTACTTTCAACAGAAGCGTGCCACGATTGTTTTCTCGCAAAGGTACCGACTCGAGCATAAGCTGTTCAGCGAACTCCAAGAATTGAAACGGCACCAGATCCGTTCCAAGCAGACAAATGAAAACGTTCTGGTAAAGCGAATGGTTGATCATTTTCGCTTGGAGGTTCTGGCGCCCGGTATGCGTGACTATGCTGGCTCTTACACCTTCCGAGAGTTCGAACGTTACCTCTATGGACAACTGCGAGATGTAGCAACAGCGGCTGATCCGGAGACGGCTGGCGGGTCATCGGCTCCCTCTTCAACCGCCTCTCCACTTGACCCGTCATTTGGTCACGTAACAACCGCAGGCTCAAGTGGCCCTTCATCCTTTCAGACAGTTACGCTTCCACCGCCGCCGTCGACGTCAACGGCGCTGTCACGACCAGTGGGTGTGGCGAGTCAAAGGACTCCATCCCCAAGCAAGCAGGCAATCGGCCGAAAGGCGAACGTTAACAATATGAAACCAGCCGAAAGACGCATATTGGACGACACTCCTGTAAAATTGCCGGGCGAACGTGAGGCCGTGAGTGGTGCTAAGGGGCTCAGTACCACTGGCGCTCAAAAACGAGTGTTACCCAGAATTGGAAACCGGGAAGAGGGTCAAGCGGGGATACAACTCGGTGGAGGTGGAGAGGAACGACTTTTTGAAGAAGGACCTATGCCTTCGCGTACGAGACGTGCTATAGGCCTGCGGCCGCCCACGAAGCCGACACTTCCAAGGTGACACATTTCAAACCACATTTGACATGTCGGAAATTTGTTGAAAAAGCTCAATATATATATCGAGTTGAGAGAAAGGCTTAGCGCAGGCTTGCTGTGCTAACTTCACTTTTGCATGCATTATCACAGAACAAGCCTGGCTTACTCTAACAACGTGAGACATTGCGCGGGAATTCTTATACAATACAAAATACATATAGTAATTGAGCATATAATAATTAAAGGCATCGATCGCCATCGGTGGGGAAACACGGTACTGCCGAATCTAGTATCGAAGGTGCCGAAGACAAAGACCGAGTTCAGCAAAGTATGCGCGAACAAGAGCGTGATATTAGCAACAGTGAACACCAGACAGGGGTGTCGAGCTCCTTTAAAGACGTCTCGACTCCCAAAAAAGATGTTGTAACTAAAGTGAGTTACCACGCTGTTTCTTAATGAATCGACAGCGCCTTGGCTGCTTCTACTTCATTGTTTACTTGTTTGTATAAATATTTCTTATGCTTAATGTTTGAATGGTAGATCTTTAAAAACCATTTTTGTAAAAAAAACTTCCTTTGAACCTGATAAGTTCTCAGATACGAGTATTTGGTTTCCATTTAGTTCAAATATTTACCCTAGTGTTCCTAAAAAAAATCACGAGATTTACATTGATAAAATGTCAACACGCCCTTAAAACTGAGGCCTTCAGACGATTGTGAGGCTCTTACTGTAGGTAACTTGCTATCCAATACACAAATATGGCAAGATAGCTAACTAAATAAATATTTCGAGTTGTACGTCCTATACAGCTTTGGTAGCAAGGTAACTGGAAACTACCGGTGAACGATATTCTGATGTATTTTTTTCTTCTGAAATAGGAAAGTGCTGTCCCTCTAAGTGACAGAGGGGTAACTTTCGGCTTAGCAGATCAACCAGTAAGATCACAAAAGATCACGCTCGTCGACAAAATGTCAGGAAGGCTGCAGCAGACTTCGACTACAACTAAGCTGTCGGAAAAAGGTGCATTTAAATTTACATGCCACTCTGAAAAACGACTGTGCTAAGGGCAAACCTTATAGGGGTCTTTCTTGCCAACTAGTTTGTTATATTGTAATATACAGTGCAAGAATGACTAGTAGTTGGCAGTGTGATGTTCAGGTTATCACACCACAAATACCAACTTATTTGCTTTGACTATTAGGCGGGGAAACGGAGACTTTTGACACCGCTGTCAAGGACGGCAAAGAAGTTAGCAAGGATAAAAGTACACGAAAACGTCGAGCAGAGTTGCCCTCACGTAAAGCCCGAAGCCTTAGTCGGAAACGAAGTCCGGGTGAAGGTGAACCCCAGTTTGCCACTGCTACCGGACCAAATCGAGGTAGCGACACACCGAAAGCGCGAAGCGAGGAACGGGACCGGCGACCGTTTTCGTACCTAAAAAAGAACGGAGGAAAGCAAAGCTATAGCAGCAAAAAGATTGCAGATGAACATAAACAACCCACGATACAGCCGCTCCGAAGTAAGACATTGTCTGCAGCACCAGGTTAGAACCAAAGCTTGCATATCTTGTATAGAATCGAAACTGGTATAAAAACACATGTCCTTTCAAATTCTGTCTATGCGGTATTAACCCTTGAACATGTAATCTTTTTCTTTAAAGGACAACACGTCAAAGACTCAATTGGAGCAACGTCCTTTCCAAGTGGAATGGAAAATGTCGCCGGGGGTAAAAATCTTCCACCTTCGGGGTACGAGACCCTTTATAATCTCAGCTCCGCTTGATCGACACTGTCTCGACTATTAGCATTAGAACAAACACCCGAAACTAATCAATGTACATTTGTTCAGATTCTCTTGGTAGAAGACAGACTTGTGTTCCAGTTCATTCAATCATGTTTACATCTCTAACGAACAACACTTTTTGTTTTTTTTTTTTTTTTTTTTTTGTATCCATTCCCGTGTCGCGTTGTTAACATTGAAATATTTACGAAAGAGTAACCACTAACAAATGCCATTTGCGCGACGCTCGTCTTCTTGTTCGATTTTAATATGTAGCTAGGGTGACGACGCATCTGTTTGACTGGTGGATAGTTTTGTATCAGTGTGAAGAACTGACGATATCCAGTAAACAGTAATTGTTATGTGAGTTATTATGAGATAAAACGGTATCGTCACAGTCGGCCTCTTGTTACTTACTAATCGAAAACACTTCTATGCCTTTTGGATCTCCCACTGCCACGCGGTTTGATTGAACAGTGTTTACCCTTTAGCCCGGCACTAAATAGTTAGTTGGGTCGGTTCTTACAAAAGTTCTTACTGCAATTTACCTACAATTGCTTACAGTGCTGCGTTGAAAGCGCCCAAACAGGAAGTTTCATCTTCAAATGAGTCCGACCCTGCCGGAGCTGATTCTAATGGTATGTCTAATTATTTTGTCTGTATAATTTGTCTCTTTGGCTATCGTAAGCCATCAGTAAAATTTTACATAGGCAACTTTATAACTCGAAAGGTAAGAAAACGTTGGACGTAATTCGTTCAAGCTTAGAAATAAGATAAGCTATAACGCTCTACGCTTCAATTACCTGCGATAGCGCGTACTCGTCGAAACTTTAGTTATATCGACTAAAACATATATTGACGACACAGAAACATAGTGTTTTATGTACATGCAAGCTGATATTTGGGTTAGCCTGATACTATAATTCCGTCACATGGGCAAGCAGAATCAACTGGCCCCATTGATAAGACAAGAAGCTTCGGACCTGGCCAATCGAACGGATCATGTTTGGTTAGGCCGATGGTTCCTTGCGAAGAGTCAAATACAAGCTTCACCTATTAGACGATGTCCTATTAGCTGTAATAGGAGAGAATGCAGTTTCAAACAATCACGGAAAGGGCTCTCTTATCGGTAGGTTGTGAAAGTTGCCTTTTTGAAGTCCTCTTAGTGGCTTCTCGACAGAGAAGGGGTTTTGAAATGCCAGAAGCGCATTGTGACTCTAAGCAGGTTTTGTGCACGTGAACCGGTCTGTTAAATTCAAAAGGTCGCGATAAAGTCATACCATTATCACCAAGTAATCAGATTGCCCGCTTTTAATTGTCCTACCTAAATATTCATGAGTCCCTTGAAGAACTCGATATAACGGACTCGATTTATTTTTGACTAGTGTCTCGTATTAGTAGACGTTACGTCATTACGTCCGTTGCATATACTACTATTACGTTATGCTTGAGCCTACCCGACACTGTCACCGAACACAATTTTTCTACAGAACGACACCATGCATTTATCTGGTTCTTCTCTGTCTGGCAATAGCTATTTAATCATACCTCGTCCGTGCAACCGGGCAACCGTGTGGTCCGCGTAGGTTTTTGTTGAGTGAAGCTTCCTAAATTGCACGTGGAATACACCTCATCAATTTTCAACTGGCCTGCAGTCAATATACAAAACCCATTTTCTACCCAGTCTCCGTAATTTTAATATTCGGGTTACGCCTCCGTAACATGTTATATGTGAAATTCCACTTTTGGCCGATAGAGCCCTTAGATTTCAAGTTCTGCTTTTGTGAAAAGCCTTTTCGATTACTGCAATGCATTCTTATCTGTTGAGTTCCTATGTGTATGTTTACCTCCTCACTGGTCTTCAATACTCCAGGCTCCATTGTTGAAATGTTTACACCTGCGCTTTTACTGCGCTTTTGTTTTCGCGCCTTTTTGTCTGATGTCTTCACCAATCTTCAATATACTTCCGCACCGCTGTGGCCTTTGGAGGAACAAACTTGTTTGCTGAGTGGTAATGTTTGAAACTACAAGGTGTTTTTTCTTTTGAACTCATTTCCTCTGGACTTTACTTTGATCAATTTTCACCAACAAATTTCTAGACAGGGGTATTTACCAGCCAGTTGCGCTTCCTAGCGGCGCGTAGCTAAAATATTACTTAATCTCTAAATCTGTCGGATACAGTTCGATATTACGGCCACAAACAACCGTCCTGTATCAAAGTTGATTTGGTTAACTTTTGAGTACGCTGGACTACAAGCTGCCCTTCGATCTAATTCTGCAGCAAGGCTTGAAAACTTCAAGGTGTCGAACTGGCATTATTTATTTAACCACCCGCGAGTAAGTTTTTTTTTAGCTTGAAGATTTGACAAACTACTAACTTGGCAATTCTTGGTTTTGTGTAGTACAATGTAGAGTTTCCCAGATAAAGAGAGAGATAACAAGTTTATATAAAACTTGCGTATTTCCCTCTTTGATTATAATGGAATCCGTTTGTTTACTTCTGCTAACAACTAATACTCTGGGGTAGCGGATTTGTACGATTCAAAAAGGCCGCTCAACGTAGATGGATTAGGCTAATATTTTTAGGGTTAGTGTTGTTTTGCACTGGGATGAGCTAGCCTTAATATGGGCCGAAGCCGACACATTCTTACCTTTCTGCACGAGTCACTTTCTTAGACACCTATTATGCTATGCGGTTCCACTAAATACGACATAAGCTAGGGTTAGACGTGTAGTTCACGATAGCCCGGAACATTATCTACATGTTCCGGGCGATCGTGAACGAGACGCAATACTGGTAAGGCTGCTACGCTACACAGGTGGCTGTGTCCACTTTGTGCTTCAATTGAATACGTGCAAGGAAACTGTGCTACAGCTGCGCTCCGTCCTAAAGTTTCCTGAAGGTTGATCGGTGACCAACCCATGAAGTGTGTACTGTCCATTTGGGTTGGTAGATCTACAAAACACCATTCCAAGCCGCTTAAAAAAGTCATCCGGACTGTTCTAGCTATGCTAAATTCTTACAGGGGGTATACTTCTTGGACTATCCATAGATTCTGTACCACAGAATAGCATTAAAGATGTACGACACGCTCGCATCATTATTGATCCTAGCCAACGACCACAAGGCGAATGCGAAGAATATATAACACGCAGGCGGCGCACAAGATGAAAGTTATGACAATGAGTCCTATGAGAAAAAGGATATAACTGTTATTAGGGGATTAGGGGGTTTACCTTATATAAAGTCTCATATTAAGCTCGTGAACCGTAATGCGCATAAGTTGAGTGTAAGATTTGTGCGTTTTTCTATTTATTATTGTCAAAAGCAGATCATAAAATATTTCTTCAGGTAGCAGGATACGTGGAGTGTGTTAGCGGATTTGAATCGATCTTTTAAATTATAGACTAGCGAGGTTTTTGGAATATTCCAATAGGAAGGCGGCATCCATCACTACAGCAGACTAACTAATTACTGCCGCAATAGGATGATAGAACATGATGTTCTAACTGGAAACCTGCAACGGGTACAGAGAGGTCATCCAACACAGCCTCACGAGAACTCAAACAGAATAACTGTAAAAGTGTAGGTAAATTGTCGGGTACTGCTTTCTACTACGTTGAATATAACCCGTGTCTAAAATTAAAGCAGACTAATAACGTAACTGCACGGTGGCAATGGGGCTGTTAAAACATCGCAACGTAAGAGCGCGATACGTAGAGAAAAGTCACTGCGGGGGTAACTATTGCTAATAGAACTAGGGGGAAAGATTTAATGTAATGGGAGAACGCAAAGGGTACTACAGGATTTCAGCAGATTTGGAAATGAATGATGTCGGTCTGCAACAGGTTTTGTTATGGCAAATGTCCCACAAACCAAAATCCATTTATATTAGAACAGTTTGCATTAGGCTGGCTGTTCTATCAACGATTCAATTTCGCTGAATCTCCAGCAGAACGGCCAGTCCAGCTTAGCCCACATGAAATTTATTTCACGGTGCGGAACGAAGCCCATCGGGCTTCTGGGCTACATTACAAAGTCTATGTATCTGTTTGTGGGTTTATTTGGCGAACCCAAATCGATCTCTTGGAGTGATTAGATTTAATTTTGATTTGAAGCAAATCGCCAGAGATTGATTTTTTTTTGAGAAGAGCTGCCCGCAAGATATAGCCAGTTGCATGAATACGTTCTTCTGAAGAGTTCAGTTTCTTTTTCCTTATAGATCATGCTATCAATTTGAAAATACTGGTCGCTTTTTACGATTTCATTGAAAACCGTTAAGAATCTGTGAAAGACTTGTATTGAAAAATTGTGTGTCAAAGTTGTACCGAATGGGCCAAAAATTTGATCATTGCATAGTTTTTGAAAAAATATGTGACTTTTTACTTTTTTTTTATTTGTAACTTAGTGGTAAATCAATAAATTATTTTTTATCATTCGCCAAAAAATTCGCAATTGATGAAATATGAAATATTTCGATTTATTTTTCAGATGTGCCTCCACTTTTCTGGGATGGGCAGTTTTTTCCCCCACAAAGTCGCGTAATGCCAATTGATTAATCTGCAAAATTATTGATAAAATCCTTTATAGATGTTAGATTTGGAACTTGTATGGTCTGTGGTAGATTATATTTAAGTGGGATTTTGGGCAAAAGAATGTTCTCCTAATAAGCTGGCTGTTTACGTAGAGGTCCTTGTAGGGGGATTGTTTTTCGTAGTACCTAAGGCCCTTGCCGGGCTCGGTCAAAGAGCTATCTATACACGTTGCTATACGTATATATCAGTTGTAAACAAACGTCGTTCGAAGTAAATGATGCTTCACGTACGGGGAACGGCGGGAATCTTTCGGTCACCAACTGATAAGTAGCCAGCGAACTGGGTAAAATTGGAATACATGTCTTCGTGCCTAAAGTGGGCGTTTCGGTGTGAAATAAGCAGAAAGCCGAATGTTACATTTATTACACGAATCAAATCTGCCCATATTAGAACAGGCTGTATATGTACTCATATAAAAATAAAGTGATAACGTGAAGCCAACTAACTAACTGCATGATCTTCCGCTGTGCGTGGCATATCCTATTGGCTCAGGATCTAACTAAAAACTATAAAATGTGTGAAAAAGTAATACAGAATAACAATTATTATTCTCACTGACTCCGGATGTTTTCACTATGTAACAACAAACATTACACAGGAAGTTTATATAATAAAAACTACAATAACTCGATGTAGGCTGTTGATTTATTAATATTCACATAGAGATTAGATGTAAAACATCAACGAATACGCTATGTTGAACATTAGTCGATTTCATCTGAGGATCTGACGGAGATAACGTGAAATCGTTACCTTTCCGGATCGAATATCATGGATTATATACATATGATCTGCATCTGGTTGGAATGATTCTAGTAATTAAGATGATGACATGGGTTGAGTTATCTTGAAACTGTATGTTGCGTGGCCTGTTGTACGGATGTCGCGTCACTATCCAATAATAAATTGACCAAGAATCATACAAACGTTCTGCTGCATACTAAGTTTGAAATCCATGTTCGACTTCCATGGCCGACGAAAAGCTCGCGGTTTCCTTATAGATATCGCTGTCTTTTTACTGCCTCGGTACCCACGAGTGCGACCCACCTTTTTCCGTCAAAACCTGGCACGCTTTAGACCTGATGCACCCGCTGTACTGTTGTTTGATGCTTATGCCACACCCAAAACTTCTACAGTGAGATTAGCACATGGTGTCACAGCAGGTAAATCGCCACCTAGATCATCAAAGTCCCCGCGCCGTCGTCAGGTTATAACCAGATCATCCCGTGAATCGCCGAGGTCATCAGCCATGTTTCCGTATATGGTGTCTGGGGACAAGAACGTTGATCCAGAAGAACGAAGCAAGGCAGATCAAGAAAGCGATAGTAAAACCTGCCGTGCCTCCGCGGACGAAAAACATATTGTTGATGATAAAACTGTGTCGGTGCTTAATGGCAAAATGGTCACCGAAACAGCTGTCTCTGGGACAGTAAAAGGCGTCAGCTCTGCTAAAGCGGCGAGGGACTCTCGGCAAAGCCCGACGATGTCCAAAGCTAAGATTGTTACGTCAACTCAAACAGAAGAGTGCAAAGAACGAATTACAGAAGTTCACGTTAAAGAAGTAGAAACCTTCAGCAGTGTAAAGACCCATGAACAGACCCGCGAAGAAATTGTCACTGTAGAGTGGAAGCCTCAGGGGCTCGGTCGCTCGAAACCATGTAAGTAACTGACCATAAGTTCCATTCTTAAATTAGTTACCGTATCTGTACGATATCTAGAATAGTAAGCAGACGTGCTAGCCAGGGCTAAAATTTGTATGGAATATTATTTAACACAGCGAAATGTACATAACCTTCAAGAATTAGAAACGTATGCAAGTAAATAAACATTGTACTTTATAGTTTCACCATAGTTGTAACGGACCTTTAGCAGTTCTGTAACTTCTCTGCAAATCCATTTAGTATGAGATTTACCTGTTGTTTTTCTGTTCGCTATCGTAAATGAAAATCCCAATTGGCCTTTGTTTCAAGGTGGCAAAAGGTGGTGCGATACGAACAAACTGCCGTGTACAGTCTAGCTTGATCAGAACATCCTTTAAGGTAACGATGCTTTGGCCTTTTTATCTTTTCCAAAAATGTCGCAAAAAAACTCGGATCTGCACAGGCGTCACTCTAGACTACCTCTGAGTCTACAGATTCGATACAACTGTAGCCCTTGGACCCATACGGTGAAGCAATCGGACGCTGAGTCAGTTTAAACCCGAAAAAAAAGTACTTAAACGGCAGCTTTACGAAATTATTTAGATCTATTCTATCTCTATTGTAGACGAATACGTAGCAAAAGGAATATACCCAATGAACTCGCATATACTGTCCGCAACTGGACCAAGATATAGAAACCTTTTAAGACAATTTCTTAGCGTTATTGAGCAAGGTCATAGAACAACTGGCGATCAATTCATGCAGAAGTGCAATACCGATCTAGCAGCTGTGGGCTCTCGCACCACCTTCACCGTCTAATTCTCACAGTCGTATTAATGTATTCACTCTTTCTTGGACAATTGCTGTTTTGACCGTTGGGGCTAGAAATTCGGAAAGCACATAACAATTTTATTTCGTATGAAAATATTTGAATGAAGATTTAACTTACCGTTGCAACTTCAGTGGCATAGATGTAAGTTAGGACTGTCCAATATTAACCAGTTGAAAAGGCGAAGCACTGAGCGTAACAGATAGAACTATGAGTACAACGGCTGGTTGAAGAAGAGTGACTTTTTTGACAAAATATCCCACCTAATTTTATACGTGTTGTTATTGTTGTCGATTTTTGTCGCGATTCCAGCCGACATCGAACGGACTGTTAACAGGGAACAGGGAAATAATGAAAAAACATCAAGTACTGAACACGAACCTCATGTAAGACCTTTACTTTAGTTAGAATAAATGTTTCCACACACTTCATATGTACATGACACTCTGCTAGCTACGGCCTCGACCGTTGCGAGCCTATCGTCTTTCTCGTTCGCATAATATAATGATCCGTCACTCAGATGATCTCTTCCGCCTTTTTGCTACGTGGTCCAACGGAAGTTGCTGTAGATAGAGACGAAAGAGACGAGAGATTGGTGACGAATACCCTTTCGTTGGTCTTCGCCATCGCATATTATCCAACAGCTTACCTAGCGTAAGGTGTTTTCATCTCGAGTCGCTTGCAGTGGTCCGTTGCAGGCTACTCAAGACTTATATTAGGCTAACAACGTCTCGGTTAAGTACAACGATTATGTAGATATTATATGGGATTATATATAGCCAACAAATAAGGTCGTTAAGTCGTCGAAATTAAGTTCGATCGTTTCGTTCAAGGGATCAGGAGGGGTTTGCAGGAACGCTCTGAAGCAATATGTAATTTCATTTAATGCCTGAAGCTGTACTTAGGGCAAACGTAGTTGGTCTAATATAAATCTAGAGTGCCATTCACTTCTTATCCATTTGTCCTGTATGGCATGGCGATTGGTTAGGAACTATGCTAAGTCTGCGCGTCTGTGGATTCATTTAAGCTTGCAAACCATTGTTATTAGAATAATTGATACGGGGGTTTAAGCAAAGCAAAGCAAAGGATTTGGGAATCGTTTTAATTTTTTTCGACTTTTCCGAAATACTCGCACGTACTTGTTTTCAGTGGTAACTTATGATTGCTTATTCTGGAAATTCTATTATTAGGAAAATCCAATTCGAAATTTGCGTCCAGCCGACAAATAAAAATTTGCTAGAGCGAAATACATCTAATTTCTATCAGAGCGAGCGGCAAACTAATTTTCAACGTCGCGCGAATTAAATGAGTGCTACAGCCTCATCTGCTTTAGGTCTGTCCCCTGTGACGACGTGTGCAGCCTGGTGGCACGCTACCAGTGCGAACTGGTATGCAGCAAGGAGGAACTGCGTGAATGAAATTCTGTGCTTCTTATCCTAAACTTTTGCGTCACACGAAGAACTTGAGCCGGATGGTGTATTCCATCTAAGGTTTTTTTTAGAATAAAAAAAAATTATTGCGTAATGACAAGGGATCCTACAGTAATTCCCGTCAGCGTACCTGAATTGTTGCACTCAGCTGCGTGTTATTGGTTAAACAGAATGAAAACTATTCTACCAGTTTTTGTATTTACTTGTTTAAGTTAACAATGCTGTACAAGCCTGCTGCAGTATATGTGCGGAATGAATTTTGCCTTTAGTCTTTAGACACAAACCTTAGCAGTGTTTGTTCGGGGCCCCTAGAAATCCACCTCTGCCTTTTACACCCAAACTGCGATAATGCCCATACTCACATACGGCTGTTACGAACCGCATGGGATGCAAGACCGGTTTTTATCGTCGTATTCAACGGGGCTAGAATTTGCACCATCAGCACTCACCTTCAATGTTACAACCTATCTAGCTAAAAGACATGCGTGAGCTGACGATTTCGGGTGACAAATCATTGGCACTCAATATAAAGCATATATATTCAAATTAAGGATGGGCACATTATATCATGGTACATTTGTATCGATGAGGTTAATTCAAGGGGCGGTACTGCTACACCCTATGACGTTGCTGTCGTGACATTTGTCATTTTGCGAACAAATGCATCAGTATAACTTTTTTCGAAAAAAATATGTGGTACTCTAAAGGACTCCGATAAACACAAACCTCAGGTAGTCATGGGTTTTGTATTTGAGTTAGCTGTAGTTGGGTTCGAAATGTTTTGCACAGGTCAGCATAATGTGAGCACGAATGTCTCACGAATTCGATAAGGAAATTGAAAAAAAAATATAGAGTAACATATTTTACTAAGTTATCTTTATAGTTATCGCCATTAGACCGGGTTGGTGCTGACAGAGATAGAGTCAAGAAACCCTCAGATAAGGATTTGTAAGATAAAAAAACATGAATATTTCAAACATTCGGTGGCCTACTCAATCCAGTCCTGTCATTTGGAAATTATCCCGGTTATATCTGGTATCGAGCTCCAAATCTCAGCAGCTGGATTTCTAAAATTCAAAACACCTATTACAAATCCAACTTGAAGGGTTAATCTTTCAAAAATCAAGGCTTTACAATTATTTCGCAAAATTTTTATTCTTTAACCCACATTTATACGTACTGCTAGAATCTCGAATCAAACTTAAAGGTGCAGCTGCGTCGGACGGCAGCCAAGGTTGAAAGCACGTCCTGTGCCATAGGTGACGATGTAACTCATCCTCAAAAAGTCGATATCTCGAAGGAGCGCGATCAGTTGAGTAGGTCGCCCGGTTCGACAGCTACCTCTCCAGGCCTTGGTCCAACAATAACCAGTTCAGCCCGTCGGAAACGAGCTCAGTGGAACAAAAGTGGAGAAATTACTATCATGCCGATGGTACGCACCGGTTACAATGCTATACTTAGTTTGTACTCTTTCATCTAACGTGTTATAAAATCAAGTCAAAGAGTATTATCAACGGAAAAACGCATATAGCCTTTTAATTAGCAAACAAAACTATTAATATTTGCATGTATTAGGGTTCCGACGAACTTGAAAGTCTGGAGCACCAGGAAGCCGTCGATGGTGCGGCTGCTGGACTCAGTGGCGGCCCCGCGGAAACGCTCGATGCGGCGAAATCAATTGGAGAAGCAGCAGTAGGTGAACGTAACAGCGACACGAAATCCAAAGAATCTTGCAAGATACGATCATCTGAGAGTCGCTCCTCAGCAAAGATCGTTCGTGGTATCCTTGGTGAGTGTGGCCATTCGCTATGAAAAGGCTTCCATAAGTACGACGCTCGTAGAACTTCGTAATTTTTCGCAGAGCGAAATCTCTGATTTTCAAACTGCTTGCTTTTAGCGCCATGTATAAATAGGTTTCACTGAGATCAATAAAACAATGTGGATTCGATAGTGGCCACGTTAGTAACTTACATTTAGCACAGCCGATATAAAGTTAGCACGTACGCGTGGTGTCTTGGTGGACGATTAAGTTAAATATTTATTATTTACATTCAATCTACGGACAGCTTTCAAACACGTACTTCAACCGTGCCCAACCATAATGACTGATCCTGAGAAAAGATTTTGTTTCTAGAACTAAGCGTAGAAATGCTCAAAGTTCTTTTAAACATGACCGCCAATGGTCGATTTAATGTCAATCCTTTTATCCAATAAAAGCAATTTAGATTGTGTCAAATTTGCTGCACAACGAGATGCATATGATGCTTAAGAATGCATCTATTATTCTTCTGTGTCAAACGTCTCCTGTTTAAAATTTCAGCGGACTTCTCGCAAAAATCTATTTACGTATTATATAATGCTCCACACATAATATGGTTCCTATGCTACAAAACTTATTTTGGCTTACTATGTGCTTCCAGGCGATGACGTCAATCCCGATGATTTAGTAACGCTTGAGATGGTCCCCAGCAATAGTGAAAGCGGAGCGTCTCAGAGTGGCGCTGCCAGTCAAAGGCATAAATCTCTCGTTCGAACCATTAAAGTCAGGGACATTCTTGAAGCCGCCGACAACGAAGACCTCGTAAGATATCAACTAGTCGAGCTACCGACATTTCTTTCCGTATCTTAAAGTTCGTTTTTGTCAACACTGAAAGTTGGCACGTTTGTGGCAGAACTTGAGCAGTTATTATCAAATCATAACATGGCAAATTCTCGTAGTGTCTACGAGCTATCCGAAGCTGTCGGCAGGATGCATTATATCTATCAATAGAAACATTATATAGCCATTTGTGATAATTCACATTTCCTTCACTTAGTCTATCCACAAATGCATCTGTCTTAAAAATAGTCCATCGTCCGATAACGGAAATATGGCCCGCTCGCTCTTAGCGGTGCCGCCAACATAAGATGCGATCCGTATCGGTCACAGCACGTTATAATCCTTCTTAGGCGGTTTTATAATCCAGCACGGTGATCATTCGTTTCCAGCTAGTATCAAGAACACGTTGGCCTTTCTTGCTAACGTCCATAAGCACTAATACGTTTATGTTGCTTTTTTGTTCTTACAAGAAATATGACGTTTGCAACAGTCGGTCGTAATCCTGAATTCAGCCTATCCAGTTACAGTGGCTGAAAACACTAAGGACTAACATACGAATACAACAAGGAATAACATACTGTTATAAGTAACAATTTTTGGAGAAAACCGATACTATATATATATATATACATATATATGTATATTACTTGTAGGTTATCCGACAGGCAGAACTGCGAGCTTCTAATGTCCCCACTCCGCCGTCCTCCACGACGCCGGTAGGATCCTCAGGCTCGGATGAAGAGATGGTCGAATTTATTGTTCGACACGGCCGAGAAAAGAATATCTTTTGGCTACCGGCGTCTAGGATTACGCAGGACCGAAAATGGCAGGTCACGTTCGTTGTGGCAAAAACTACAGGAAACAATAACAATAATAGTACGAACACTGGTCCCTCTACCGTAGAGAAAACACCTGTTGCAGTCACTGCCAAGACAACGTAGATAAATTATAACCATGAAATTGTGCCCGACTTAGGCGTAATAGCTGGTCTCATTGTCTGTAGCATTGAAACAGCATCGTTTAAACCACTTGAGGAAATATCATTGGCTGATGAATTGGTAATAACTTATTTCCTAATTAAAATCATGATATTTGATTATGGAATAAGACCTAACTACCGACGCTAAATATTTAGGCATTGAAGTTGACCTTCCACGCTGAACTATTTTTTTTTTGTATATGTTTAAAAACGAGTAAAATCACGCATACGAGATGAATAGGCAACGTAGTTCATAGCAAGATTATTCAAGGACACATAGAACTGTTTGAGGCCTAGTCTGAGGTACTGAAACAAGAAGATCATCGGACAGTGTAGACTGTGCGGCAGCTATCGCAAAAGTTTTTGTGTAAGAGCACGCCTTATTACATAAAACATTCATTGTATTTATTCTAGAAGCTGACTGCAGCACCGTGTAACGATTAGCCGCGGTCCCGCCTGGGAAAACAAAATACATACTAGTTTTATTGGTTCCTTTTTTCTTAAGCATGAATCATTGCTTATCCGTGAGACGGTACATCTATGGCCACAATTGCACGTATGTGTTCGTAGTCCTTCATGCAAAGCATAATTTTCTTCCGCAGATGGCGTGTGTGCATTCGCAAGCCGCTAAATAAGCTTTTTATGTAGGAAAATAAACCCAGTCAACCATGTACCAGCGCAAATAACCGTTTGGTGACTCAATCTATTGGGTTGTAGGAAAGATTTTGCTAGTTAGATTGAAGTAACGTGTCCCAGGTTAATATCCCCGGATCGACATCAATGTCGTTTAAAGCTGAGATCTGATAGTACTAGACGAGCTAGCGTATTAGAATACTAAAAAGAATATTCAGACTAAGTAAAACGCCTCGCAGACAAGTCAGGTTTCTACAAAAACTTGTTACGCTTTAGAGTTTACTATGACAAAGGCAAAATGCTACTTAGATCAGTATAAAAAATTTTTGGAAAAAAAATTTGGGACGTTATGGCCAAGTTGCGTCACCGAAAAAATAAACAGTCTAAAGATGTCTCTGTCGCTTTCTTTCTGGGAGTTTTCATGTGAAAGATGTCTCTTGTAGTGGTTGGCAAGTTGCGGAAAAAGTTGACTAAACACTATCGTTTGACTAAATATCCACCACCTTTTTACAGCTTTTAGACCATTTAAAAAAAAATGGCTACAAAAAGAAGCACATTAATTGATGCAAGAGTATTTACCTGCTCGTACTTCTGCCTCCGATAGCCTACAAAAGCCAACCAAGCTGACCAGTGTCTAAAGGTATTGATCACAGATGATGGAAAGTAGATCACATATGTGCAAAAAAATGTGTGCTCCAGGGCCTCTGGCAAAGCTTGGACTGACGCCGGTGATCCTGATAGAAGTGATGGGTGAAGCTGTTTTTGGTGGCCTAATGCGACGATTGGTTTGGATCTCTGCTATCAACGACTAACAAAATTACAACAAGCTATTGAAAACAAATCAAGTGAAGCTAGTAAACAGAAAAAAACATGCCATCCGATAATTAAGGGAATTTGCATAGAAAATTCTGAAGTACCGGCTGTATAGCCCGGATCTTGTACTATCAGACTATCATCTGTTCCGCTGTCTGCAGAACCTCCTTAATGGGTTAGTTTTAATTCCAATAATGGGATCCAAAAATTACAATCATACGGCCAAAACTTACACATGATGTACCGAAGAGGTGTTAGAAAATTTAGTTCAGTACTATTGCAGCACTCACTCTGGTCACGCCATTACGGCTAACCATGCCTCCCACTAAGTACAACTTGAGTACGGTCAGGTAACTTGAGTTAACGTCATTCAAGCATTGCTGTTCGTCTGTAATAGGTGCAAGGACGCAACGCCAAAAACAACCGGAAATATATTTCGATGTAATGACGGCAGCATATGCAAAAACAATCGTTGAGCTACTTTCAAGTAGCCAAAGTTATCATTAATTATTCTTGGTTCTCATTTGAATTTTGGTCGAACGCATCTTTGAACTGATAAAGCAAAACTCATTTGAATCGCCCCCATTAAGAACCTTGTAAATAAGTAAAACATATTTTACAGTTAGGACTTATTCCTCCCTGGATTCTGAACTATGGTAGAAATAGGACAAAATATCCATGCGAAATTTCTGCTGAAAACCATTCAGCTTTGTTCAATGTTCGAACTTCCTTCCCTGTTTTGTATTTTATTTATTTACCACGTGCATATCAGGCCTTCCAGCTTTAAGTCAAATATATATTTACTATATGTGCGCAGTATGTGTGGCAATTATCGGGAAAGCCATCCTATTTAACTGTTATCCAGACAGACCGAATAATGTTATAAAGACTGACCACATTTGATGGGCAGTAGAGTAATGATTTTAACGATTCAGAAAAGCTAAAATCCCAACGTTCCCTATAGCCCGGCCTTCCTAGCATTAAATACCATGTAGAATCGGAGTACGCGTTATGGCCTAATTCTGCCTAATATTGCACGAACATATTTAGGCAAGAAAGTAGTCCCATAGACTAGATATATCACTAAAAGTAAACATAAAAATAGACTGATAACGCTTTCATTCTTTCCCGGCACCCTGAAGAATCCATCTAAAGATATCACAAAGCTGCATAATTATTCGGTCTCAATGTAAATGTACGTCGCATATGTTTGGGTATTACCCTTGTGCTGTGTCGGCCGGGTACGAAGCAATAGGTCAAAACATTTCGTTCCTAAAGGTAGAATTGCGGCCGAGAGAACGTCGAATCGATATTATGGAACTGGCGTCAGGCCAAATAAAATGACAGTAGTAGTAATCAAATGAAAGATAAACTTCTGTTTAGGTAGATGCATCAATTTGGCAGGCACGACAGATTTATGAAAACGTAAGTGGAGCATAAGTAGGACTTTACGTCTCTTAAAATGTATGTATCCTTGATGCTTACGCAAGTCGCATAATGTATCTAGGCGACGTGTGGCGAGAATCGAGCCCGTTATGTGGGGTTAATACGACCGTTAATCAGTTTCGACTTTCGCCTAGGTTGTCGGTGACATTGATAACTGAACTGAGGTTCTTTGAAGAACTGAACTTTAATGAAATACGTACGTGTGGAGAGGACGGGCTCACAAGAAATACGCAATGTAGTCAATTAAAGCACGTAGACCTAGGTTAGACAGTGCCATCTGAAGGTTTACCTATTACAATGGCTCGAATCAATAGGGTTTGGCAGCAAACCTACGTTGAATCTCGACCTGAATTTAACCGTCGAGTGTAGCCAATTTATACACGCTCAAACTCACCGGTAGACGCAGAATCTTTAATATTACCTAATTACGCCACCTCATCGCTATTACTAGCATTACTGTTATTAGTAAATGATTTTGCACATTGACGATAGTATATGATAAAAGCAATCGTTTCTTTACAATATATGTATATATATATATATATATATATATATATATATATATACACATATATAAAATGCGGTCATCTCGGCATTGCAGTCTGAATGATTACAAAATGACACTGCCAGAGAATCTTGACAAATATAATAACATAGAGAAAACATCTATTTAGAGTATTGAAATATACTCGGCTTTAATCGTGTCCCATCGGTGCATAATAGTAGTTTAGAAAAAAACGTCTATGCTTTTATCCTTTTTTGCCGAACAATGCTCCTAGAATAGATCAAAATAAGAAAACAAGAATGAGACGTTCGTGCGCTTTCACAGACTCAGCTTCTGAGCCCGATACAGCGCTGGCTGAAATCAGAACTTCTACTAACTAAATTACAGTTCATTTTTCAGGCTCCATTGGCTTAGAGCTGATGGCCTCAAATCTGTTTTCGTTGTAGAAGCAATGGAAGTACACATATCCAACAAAACAGTTTTCATGTACTATTCAAGATATGTCACTGTATGCAGTTTTGTGCTTCTGCGTTCTATCGTATCATAAAGTCTGATCAATTCTTCATCGATATTGAGCCAATGTAGCCCTAGTGAGGGTAATATTGTACAGGCTTTACTACAGTGTGGGTAAATTCTTACCCCGTAGCATGTTTTCGTGCCTCACGTCTGCTACCGGAGCCGTTAGGCACTAGCTCAGGCGTTCGGCTTTTAACGTTTTGGCCTGGACTCGAACTTAGGCCCCCACATGTCTTTTAAGTTTAGCGGACAAACACACTACCTACAGAGTTAGCTAAAACGAACTTTTTTGTACGATCATCTGTTCATCAGGCACGACATACGAATCACTTCTAATTAGTTTATTCATGCTATATCGAGTAAATGGAGTCGAGTGATTCAGAAATCGATGCACTAACGGATATCTGTACTGAATATCTGTTGATGTACGATACGCCAAATGCAAATTGTTACAGACTTATCCATGTCAGGAGTATCATTGTCGATGTGGCCATAAATTACTACCATTATCTTCTCGCACTGTACCCTAAAATGATAGTAGATTTTTGTCATCGGCGCCAGGAGGTATGTGTCGATCATTTTGTAATCATTCGCAAAGGCTATCAAAAAATACATTTATAAGTTGTTCACATACTACTAGATTCAAAGTTAATTCATGTTGTTTTTGTTATGCGTCGTCTGCTACCCTATGTGGCGTTTTTCCTGTTTCGGTTTTTCTAATATCTAGTATTATCTATCAGTTTAAATGGGTTCCTCTATTGATCCTTCTAGTATTTCAAACGGGCACCCAATTATAAACAACATAGATAACCTATCCATTGTTTACCCGGTGACATTTTGTCATCCCGAAATCGTCACGGTGCATAGTTTATTCATCTAACGACACCATTTGTCCCTCTGTAATGCTAATAAGCACCTTATATCAACAAGCAAGCTATACAACATGGATCTAGCATGATTGTTCCAGTTTTGTAGAGATCTCTTTTTTTAACTATAACATAACATATACATAACGTTTCCTCAAGATTAATTTTTGTCAGGCATAGTAATAAGGACTTCGGAAATATACGCGTGTATATGTAAATACGAATACAGCCGTGCACAAGGCAGGTGCTCCGTAGCTGCATGTTCATAGAGTTGACAGCGAAACTATTAATGCCATAAGCACCTACAAAATCGACTTTGAAACGCTACAAGCAGCGTGCATGATATATACATATCATGCATGCTGCCTATAGACACAAGATACAAGAGATGGAGCTGCACACGAAGTAAAGATTCTCCAATCGATTTCAGCCTCAATCAAAACACAGACAACAGAATGAGGATGTTTCTTTCATAGCACGTAAATTAGTCGACCAATATGGAGACGTGGTAATTGTACGAGTGACAAACATCAATAGTAACCATAGCATTATGTGTTTCTAGTTGAACAACGCCACCCATAGTGTAATGATGAAAAAAGACAGAATAAAAACAATGCTTAACATACGATGTTAATCGAATGTGCCTTGTAATCTCGAAGTATTGTATATGTATAATATAAAGAGTGGCCTTGAAAACATCGTCAAAGTTGTTTATCATATTGTCTCATACAAATTTTTGACTACTGTAAGTGCAATAAGTATGGCAACTGGCTGGAAGGGAGTTGTTTTCCCGTCTGGAGATATGCTCTACCGCGTCGGCGAACGAATATACGAAGCAGAGACAATGGCACTCTCCAGCGTCGTCAAAAGGAAGTTTTTTCTCCCATCGCTTGTCACTTACAATCTGGAACTTGCACTCCGATCGACCTCTTTCGTAATTAAATTCTAGGTACCTGAATGGTCTGCTCAATGCTCTGCCTCTTCAGTAGCGGCGAAGCAGACGACAGCGACCTCCAGCGCTCCACCACGGCCGCGCAGTGGACAAAAAACGCCCTCTAGCGTCGTCGTTTCTTTGCGGCGATTGACAAACTGACGACAACAACGGCGCCAACAATTGCGCTATCTAACGATACTCCTGCGCTCGGAAACGGCGTACTTTAAAGTTTTCACAAAGGCACTTCTAATTCCAGCAGGCAAGCAAGACGGAAGGCCTTACATGTGCCTAGCTAGCACGTCACATTTTGGCTGTCTATCGGCGGCGACACCGCTATCATCAAAGCAAAATAAATGTTCCGTCGATTCGCGCCTCGTGTAATTGTGTCGCAAAATCGTAGAGCTTGCGCAAAAGATTACTGCAGTATTGTAGAAATCCTGCTTTTATGACCCAATGTAAACTTGAATATAAAAAACTACTGAAATTATCTTTTAGTTCGAATCAAACGATTTTGATCGATCTAAATTAAGTGCCAGAATGCACTTTAAATAATGTCTAAATCGTTAACGTTCAAGGTGTCATAGCTTTCAAATCAGTTTGATTTGAAAGTGATAGATTCATAACTATGGTTCGCTATGGCCGTCAGCCAATCGACACGAAAAGTTCTGCCTCAAAATTGTACGATGCTGACCCGATGTTATTCCAATGTTATTCCTAAATGTTATTCCAAGTTGAAAGTTCGGTTCTACTGTTGTTCTACTGTTTAGGGTTGACTATTCATTTTATAAAGAAATTGCCGTTTCGATTTGAAAGATCTTAATCGCAAAAACACTGAAATGAAGAAGAGCAGCAATCAACCCAACATAACCGCAATGAACGTTGGCCAAAATAACAATTAAAAGCCTTTCAACTTCCATTTATATTTCCCAAATGTTGATACTGCGCTGCTGGCAAAACGTAGCATGTCCCTTAACGAGCAAGCTGGCAGTATGCAGTTTTTCGATTGCCGGATGAGCAAATATAGCCGACATCATGACGATATTCCCCCAATTGAAAATAACATTCTAGCTACTTGACGCAAAGAAGAGGGGAGTGGAAAATGAGAAAATATAACATCAAGAGAACATGTTTTAATCAGAGGATGATCGCCAATGAACATCTTCCAACACCGTAACAAGCGGGACCATATTTTGGGACAGCTTTTGAAGAAATATAAATAACACCAAAGGAAAAACACACACACATATATATATATATATATATATATGAGTGTGTATGTTTTTCCAATTTTCTTTTCACGGGTATAGAGAAGGATGTAAAACACCTGTAACTCAGGTACCGCAAGGACCGTTAGGTTAGGGACATTCAGGTGAATGTCCAGCTGGTTTGTATGTTGCTATTTTACTCGCATACTCAATCACTGTAAAAGCTCTAAAGATGTCGTCCTGCAACGATCAATTGCCAGTAACAATTCGTTTTGACAACACGCTACTTCACGTAGCCGCAAAATGCAATGATATTTCTGACAATAGCTTTCCGAATTGGAAAAGAAACTTGGCGTTGAACAATTTACACGATTTAACTGTACTCATACCCATCACAAATTTCGAGTCGTTACAAAAAATTGTTAGCATGAACAAAAGACAACGAAAAAATCAGCCACAACTTTTTTACTTTTTAGTACTTAAAAAAAAATAGATGCACTTATCGCAGAGTCAAATACAATACGTAGGTAACGAAGTGTTATTTTTCAAACGTTTTGTGAACTCAGGCGATCTTCCATGACTCTGTATTAGATAATCAAACGTTGTTTCCAGCTGTATCTACGGACCTCTTTCGGTTCTTCGGTGGTGATAATAGCATTAAGAGTCGTGAACGCGCCACTGCCAAAAGCGGCTACGGTCCTGCTTACCAGCTATATGTCAACTCCTTCAACTATGACAAATTAATGCAAAATAGCGGTAGCCGCGACAGTAATTCTTCAAGGAATTATCGAAGAAACCTTTGATGGGTGGGTTTTGCAGAAGTTCAACTCCCTCAACTAGCATCGATATTTCCTTAAAACAAAAAAAAGAACGACTAATACATCAACTGAATATATATAGATGGACGAAACGTTACTGCTGATAATAAGTAATGAAGAACAAAATGAACGAACTGTAAATGGCTTAGAACATGTAATATGGTCGTTAATATTCCACCGTTTAAAGTTTCCTAAGTCTTTCTCCCCTCAAACGCGTTTTGAACATGACTACAAAGCCATTATATTATGAGCAGCTTTTTATATTTTTCGGCAGACTAATCAAATTAACTTACTATGTAGTTGCTGTTACTCCCCGCGACCTTTTTCTATCTACCTCTTAACCAACTGAATTATTCCTTCTTGCCAAAAATTTTCGAGTATGAAGATGAAGAAGCGGCTCAGCTAGATTTTAAAACTCTCTTCACTTCCAAATGTGCGACTGACAACTTAATTTGCTAGTAACTTGCAACAATGATATTCTATCGCAAGGGCTCAAAAAAGATCACACTCAAAATACTCTTAAAACGGGGCGTGCGTAATCTTTGATATGCACGGTTTGCCACTGCCACGGAGACGGATGCTTTTGCCTCGTCTATTGAGTATTTTATGCTGGATGACATCGTTCACTCGACGC